CTTCCTTCCTTCCTTCCTTCCTTCCTTCCTTCCTTCCTTCCTTCCTTACTCTCTCTCTCTCTCCTCTTTTTCTCTTTTTTTTCCTTCCTTCCTTCCTTCCTTCCTTCCTTCCTTCCCTTCCTTCCTTTGTGTGTGTGTGTGTGTCTCTCTCTCTCTTTTTCTTTCGATTGAACCCAGAGGTGCTCTAACACTGAGCTACACCCCCAGCTCTTTTCAGTTTTTATAGACAGGATCTTGCTAAGTTGTTAAGACTGTCCTCAGACTTGTGAGTCTCCTGCCTCAGCTTCCCAACTCACTGAAGTTATTGGCGTATGTCACTGTACCTGACTATATTGGCATTTTCTACTTATTTTTGCTCTACATGTGTGCATTTTATGTGTGGTTACAGGTATGAATATTTATTTCATATGCATTGTTGAACATGTCCTAATAAATGTTCACATGAACTTTAGAAATTTAGGTGTGTCAGAGCTGCCTAAGCTGTAACCAGAATAGAATAAGTAAGAAAAATCATCAGTAGCTCTAGAACAGTGCTGTCTAATTGAAATATGATAAGAGCCAAATATGCAATTTAAAATTTTCATATGGTCCACAATTAGATTTTTTTAAATGATGGTATGACTTTCTGTCTTCAGATTGAGCTAAGAGAACGAGAAATAGAAAGACTGTCAGGTACTTTGGATGGTGGTCGCTCCCCTGATGTCCTGTCTCTGGAGAATAGAAATAAAACCAATGAAAAGCTTATTGCTCATTTAAATATTCAGGTAATGGCTCTTATGATCATTTCAGTAAGTATATGAAATTCTAACTGTTTTTAATGGTCTGTGGGTTTGTAAAAGTAATAAGGTTGTTCACTGAAGTATTATTTACAGTAGGAAAAAAAATTGATAGAACCAAAGTATCAAGAAATACATTGCAGTTATTGAAAAACCTTGTTATGGAATATTTAATGATGTAGGAATTAAGATATATCATAATGTTAAACATTTTTTTTAAAATGAACTTCAGGCAAAGTCTGATTTTCAGTTTGCTTTTAAAAAAATCTATGTATTTGGAAAGGGAAAATACTGAAAGAATATACTAAAATATACTAACAAAACTTATCTTTGTGTAATGGATTATTCTAGCAGATGGCGTTTTTATTTTTAAAAAATTTTTGACTGTATACCTTTTATAATGTAAAAAAGATGATTTTAATATATGTAAATTAAATTTATACCTTTTATCGACTTAGGCTATGCATTTGACTGAAGGGTGGAAGAGCAAGAGAGTTCCATAAGGCATGGCACATGAACTTTAGAAGTTTAGGTGTGTCAGAGCTGCCTGAGCTGTAACTAGAATAAAATAAGTAAGAAATATCATCAGTAGCTCTAGAACAGTGCTGTCTAATTGAAATATGATAAGAGCCAAATATACAATTTAAAATTTTCTAGTAGTCAGATTTTATAAGGTAAAAACCAAAATTTTAATTATACTGATATATTTACCATTATACCCAAAATCTTATTCACCTTTTAATGTTTTTTACATTTTTTTTTAAACCAGGATTTGGAAATCGTGTATATTTTATATTTATAGTGCATCTCAGTTTGGACTAGCAACACTTCAAATGCTCAGTAGCCACATGAAGATAGATGCTAGAGGCCTCCATATTGGACAGCACATTCTAATATCATTGTGATATTCTTGTCATGCTTTTAGAACTCTGTGTTGGAAGAAAATTCACACAAATTTCTTACTTATCCTTTTCTTCTGTGCATGAAAATAAAGCCAATGGATATATATTTTTTCATTAAACATTGTCAGTTTTACAAATAAAATAGTATTTAAGTTTATAAATATAAAATAGCTGTGGTTTTAATTTAAAATATAACTTTTTGAAATATTATTTTGAAAGTTCAGTATTCAGCATAATTACCCAATTCATATGCCTTATGAATTACAAATTCAATTTAGGTTGACTTTCTTCAGCAAGCTAATAAAGACCTGGAGAAGCATATTCAAGAGCTTATGAAAACCAAGGAAACAGTGACGACTGAAGTTGTTAATTTAAGTAACAAAAATGAAAAACTCTGCCAAGAATTAACTGAAATAGACCAGTTAGCACAGCAGTTGGAAAGACATAAAGAAGAAGTACTTGAGACTGCTGATAAAGAACTTGGGGAAGCAAAGGTAATGATGTATTTAGGTTGTGAAAGTATTATTGTAGTCTCCTAGAACACAGTGATGTCCCTATCCAGGTTGTTTATTTTGTTGTGTTTTTCATTTTTGTTTTGTATTTAAGATTTTCTTAAGTTTTGTTTATACCCACTAAATGATTGCATTTATTCTGGCCTGTTGGGAGTTTTTCTGAAGCATATTCTAGTCTTGGGATAGACCACTAAACTCTGTCCTGTTTTCCTTTAAGATTTCTATCTGTCTTTTATCTGCAGTGGGAGAGATTCTTCTGAAGTTTATGTTGTCATTTTTTTGTTCAAGAATCATTTAAAGGTGTCTTTTAAAACTGTATGACATTGTGCATTTCAAAGTTGATAGCTCACTTTTTACATTTTTAAATTAAAATAGATGCAAAGCATGAAATTTCCAGTCTGATTTTAGATATAGCCAATGAAATCTAAATGACCCTTTCTGCTTGAAATTTTCACAAAATTTTATTTTAACATTTTATGCTTAAATAGCTTAAAAAAATTTTTTTTAGTCGTAGATGGAGATAATACCTTTATTTTATTTATTTATTTTTACTTGGTGCTGAGGATCAAACCCAGTGCCTCACACATGCCAGGCAAGAGCTCTACCACTGAGCCACAACCTCAAGCCCTTAAATATCTTTTTATATTCACTATTATACCTGTTTGGAATAAAAAGTATTCAAATTAAAATTTTTTATTTAAAAAAAATTTCCTATAACTATAAAGTTCAAACTGTTAACATTTTCCTCAGAAAAATGTTAATAATTGGGGGTAAACGTGATCATAATACCACAAGTGTTGATAAATTTTAAAAAAGATAAAATTAAGTTTATTGGAAATCCATCTATTAATGAAATATAATGAGAGAGACAATATGTCTTATTTAAAGCTTTTAGCTAATCCCAACATTTCAGCATTTCAGCTCGTTTTTGATAGAGGGAGTAATGCTGAACTCAGGGCCTTGTACTTGCTAGGCAAGTATTCTGCCACTGAGTGACCTCCCCAAGACCTTCTAATTAATCTTTTTATCTGGTATTCCTAAAGTTGTTTTGTTTTGTTTTGTTTTTTAATATCCCGAAGCAGTGTGCCATTGTGACATAAATGAAGTATAAGCCTTTCTTTGGAAGAGTGTGAAAGGGAAAGTAGAAATGGATAACTTACATGATACTGAGGCTGAAAGCAAGTTCTTAGGTATTCATTTTTAAGAAGCACTGTATGTGCAAATTAAGTATCCAACTATTAAATCCTTAAAACTGTGTACATACCAGAGTTTTACATAATACTTGGGAACTCTTTTTGCCAGGAATATAATTGAAGACCATACTGCTCTATATCACTGAACTGATTTTATACAATGTAACCTCCACTAATTAATGTACTGGAAAGAAAACTCCCTCAATATAATAAAAACCATTTATGGGCTGGGGATGTGGCTCAAGTGGTAGCGCGCTCGCCTGGCATGCGTGCAGCCTGGGTTCGATCCTCAGCACCACATACAAACAAAGATGTTGTGTCCACGAAAAACTAACTAAATAAATAAATATTTTAAAAAAATAAATAAATAAAAACCATTTATGAACAGTCCACAATAAACATCAAACTCTGTGTTGAAAGACTGAAAACTTTCTTTAAAATAACAAACAAGTCTACGATACATACTTTCATCCCTTCTGTTCAACATAGTACTGAAAGTCCTAGCCAGAGCAATATGGTAAGAAAAAGAAATAAAAGGCATGTAAATTGCAAAGAAAGAATAAAATAATCTCTGTTTACAGATAATATAATCTTTAGATCTTTAGATTCCATACACATGAAAGATAATAAATTTAATAAGGTTATAAGTTACAAAACAAAACAAGATATGATTTTATACACTAATAAGAAATCAAAAAAGGAAATTAAGAAATGTTACTATAGCATCAAAAAGAATGGAATTTTAGGAATTTAACCAACAAAGTGAAAAATTCAGCACTTGAAAACTACAAAACTGCTGAAAATTTAAAGAAGTTACAGATAAATTGAAAGACATTATTCATGGATTGGAAGACTTAATATTCTTAAACTGTCCAAAGCCATCTATAGATCCAGTGCAATTCCTATCAAAAATTTCAATGGCATTTTTTTCAGAAAAAGAATAAAATTTATACAGATCTCAATAGACCCCAGATAGCCAAAGCCATTTTATTTTTCCTTTTCTTCCCCTCTGTGGTTACAAGTGTTGAACCTAGTACCTCACATATGCTATTCAAGCACTTTACCAGTGCTACACCCCCAGCTCTTTATATATTTTGAGACAGGGTCTCTTTTAAATTGCTCAGGCTGTCCTGAACTTGGGATCTTCCTGCCTTGGCCTCCCAACTTTATGGGATTACAGGCATGTGCCACTGCAACTGACAAAACCTCTTGCAAAAAGAAGGACATTATTAGTACAGTTTTGGTTTTGCTGCTGCTTTTTAAAAATCCTTTTTAAAAAAATTATATTTTTAAAAAAATGTTTTTATTAGTGCATTATTGTTATACTTTGTTCTGCTTTTGTGACTTTAGTTCCATTGCAATACTATAATATCTCATCCCTCTCTTTTTCTACCTCCTTTTGCATCTTGTGTTTCTGCACACAATATACAAACATGGTTTCTCATAGCCCATTGACAATGCTTCAGAAATGATAGCTTGGTTCAATAAAAGATTCATATTGGGTCATAATATTTTAATCTTGGCATTCTGCTCTTCAGTTGCAAAGCAGAGGAACCAAATTGGTAAAAGCATGTGAAGAGAAAACAAATAGAATAGGAAATGATAGTACCATAGGACATGTTCTAAACCCAGGGTCCAAGGAAGTCCTACAAATAAATGTACAGGAAAAAAAGATTTGGGAGGCTGGGGCTGTAGGTCACTGGTATAGTACTTGCCTCACATGCGTGAGGTACTGGATTCAATCCTCAGCACCACATAGAAAGGGACAGGTAAAGATATTGTGTCCATCTACAACTGAAAAAATGAAAGAAGAAAAAAAGATTTTCAAGTGGTCCTTTTCTTTCGGATGTTATAAATAGGTCCCTGTAAGCATTCAGGACACCACAATATTAAAGAGAATCTTCTTTGTTGAAAATGAGTGAAAGCCTCAGATCTTACTAGTGAAGGGGAACACATGAACCACTAGAAAAATTACTTGATCTTATTGCATTATGACTTAGTAATAAGTATTCTTAGACTTTTAAGTGTTTACCTAACAGACTTTTATTCCTAGAAAGAGATTAAAAGAAACCTCTCTGAAATGCGGAATCTTGAGGAAACAATGGCAAAACTTCAACTGGTAAGTTAATGTCATATTGAATTGCCAGCATTTTCAGAAAGAAAAGTTTTGTGTTTTATTTTATATAATATATATATTTTATTGAGATATAATTTAAATATCACAATATTCTTTTTCGGGGTTGGGGGATACTAGGGATTGAACTCAGAGGCATTCAAGCACTGAGCCACATCCTCAGCCACATCCTCAGCCCTATTTTGTATTTTATTTAGGGACAGGGTCTTACTGAGTTTCTTAGCGCCTCACTTTTTGCTGAGGCTGGCTTTGAACTCAAGATCCTCCTGTCTCAGCCTCCCAAGCCACTGGAATTACAGGCATGCGCCTGTGCACAATATTAATTTTTTTTAAGTATACAATTCAGTGGTTAGAATAGTCACAAAGCTGTGCAACTATCACTACTATATAATCCTAGAACAGTTTTTTTAAAACTTTTTTTATAGTTGTATATGAACAGAATGCCTTTATTTTGTGTATTTTTATGTGGAGCTAAGGATTGAACCCAGAGCCTCACACGTACTAGACAAGCGCTGCCACTGAGCTATAGCCCCAGCACCCATTAGTAGTCACTCTTCATTCCCTTCTCATCACAACCGCTCTCATGTACTTTTAATTTGTATAGATTTGTCCATTCTGACTATTTGATATATATGGAACCTTACAGTATATGGCTTCTTTCACTTAGCATAATGTTTTTTTTTGTTGTTGTTGTTGTTTTTGTTTTTTTTTTTTTGGTGGTGGTGGTGGTACTATAGGTTGAACCCAGGGTCATTCCACTACTGAACCACTTTTAAAAAATTTTATATTTATATCTTAAGCCCTTTTTATTTTCTTAATTTTGAGACAGGGTCTAAGTTGATGAGGCTGACCTTGAACTTGAAATCCTCCTGCTGAGTTGCTGAGATTACATTTGTGTGTCACTGCACCTGTCAACATAATGTTTTCAAGGCTTATGCATGTTGTAGCATATGGTAGTACTTCCTTCCTTTTATAGCTGAATAATATTCTGTATAGATATACTACAATTTTATATTTTTAGAACTCTTTAATCTTTTATATGTTTATAAGTAAAATTCAAATTTGAAAACCTGTTAGGAATTTTACATTCTTTGAAACGACTATGACCTATCAGTTCACTAATATTAAATCAGAAGTTGATAATTACTTGTTGTATTTGCTATTATTAAAAAGCACTCAAAATTGGTGCAACCCGTCTTGAAAGCGGTATGGAAATTTCTGAAAAACTTGGAATGGAACCACCATTTGTCCCAGTTATCCCACTGCTTAGCCTATACCAAAGGACTTAAATCAGCATACTACAGTGATATAGCCACATCAATGTATATAGCAGTTCAATTTATAATAGTTAAGCTATAGAACCAATCTAGGTGCCTATCAACAGACAATGGATAAAGAAAATGTTGTACATATATACAATGGAATATTATTCGGCCATAAAGAAGAATGAAATGATGGCATTTGCAGGTAAATGGATGGAACTGGAGACTATTATGCTGAGTAAAATAAGCCAGTCTCCATAAAACCCAAAGGCTGAATGTTCTCTCTGTATGCAGATGCTAACTCACAATAAACTGGTGGAGGAGGGGGCAGAATAGAGTTCACTGGATTAGACAAAGGGGAATAAAAGGAAGGGAGGGGGATGGGACAAGGAAAGACAATAGAATGAATCAGACATAACTTTCCTATGTCATATATGAATACATGACCAGTGTAACACCACATCATATATAGCAACTAAAATGGAAAGCTATACTCCACGTATGTATATCAAAATACATTCTACTGTAACGTATAACTAAAAAGAACAAACAAAAAAATTTAAAAAGAGAGAGCAGTTTGAAGAAAATGAGAATCAAAAACCTTAAAAAGGGAGAAATTAACCCCTCATCAAAAAAATTTTTTTTAAACCACTCATTCCTCTTTTAATAGCTTTGGTATAAGCAAATTATTTTCCTAGTCATACTGCTTCTTCTGATTGTCTTATAAGGGAAAAAATAATAATCTTGATGGCAGAAACTTGATATAGCATACAGTCTGGAACCAGCAGAAAGAATGTCTTGCATACAGTGTGAATTGGCTGCTCATCCAAAAGATTGAGATTTTTTTTTAATAGCCTATTAAATTGGAAGACTTTCCTTTAAAATTAGAAACAAAGACTGATACTGATATACATGTTTTCTCATTATATAATGCTATATGTATATGCTGCACAAAGTAGATACTCAAATACTTGTTGATTTTTGTATAGAAACTGAACGACATATTTACCACAGTGTCTTCCTTTTTTATTCAACTTAACAAATCTTTAATTCAACTAAATAATGAATTAACTTTGTCTGGTAAATGTTGTCTACTCCTGAGTCTCATAAAATTCTTCCTTTGTGTCAATAAATGTAAAGTAGGTGTTTCAATGACGTTTTTGTTATGAACTCCATAAGGACAAGGAATTTTTGTTGTTTTTTCTTTTTTTGTATACTCACTATAAATACTGTATTTGATTAATAATGCTTGTCTCACAACTGTAACCCAAGTTTCAGTAGTGTTGGATGAGATAAAATGTTGCTGTAGGTATTTTCTGACCTTTCTTATATTTTCAATAGTGCTATGTTCTATGTATTTTAAGATAATAATGATGGTATTAATAGCTAAAATTTATTAAACATGGTGAATGTGCTGGATACTGCAAATTGCTTCAGATCCACAGATTGATCCTTAACAGTGAATCCCGGGTGTCCTGGTTTTACTAATCCATTCTGCAAATGAGGCTGAGAGAATAACCAACATAGTTCTGAATTTATATGATAGATATGGTAGACAGAGAATAGTATGCCTTATACAGTCCTCTTTAAACATAAGTTTAAAAGTTTTTATTGCACAAGGACATGATTATTTAGGGCGGGTAAAAGGACAATATGCTAAACAAATTGGAAGAAAATAAAACCTAAGGATTCTACCATCCACAAAGGAGCATTATTATAATAATTGGGTTTTATAAGTACCATAAAAGTATGGTACTTATAGCTATAGTTGATAATTCAGTTGAAACTGTATTCAACTAATTAAAAGTATGTGTACACATATATATGTGAATTGCTGTTTTATAAATGTTCTTACAAAAATATGTATTTTACCTGTTACCTTTTATAGACCTATTATAAATAGTATTATATATTATATACTATATATTTATACCATGTAAATGTATAATACTGTATATTCATTTGTAAATATACTATGAATGTTAGTATATAGTATTATATATAATATAGTATATATAGTAATATTATATATAAATATAAAATGCTATTAGAAATAGTATTATATATAATACTATTATAAATAGTGTTGTTTATAGGTACATATAATACTATATAAATATACCTATTATAAATAGACCTATTAATTATAGAATTAAATTTGCAGGAATTAAGTTTATGCCATAAAGAAAAGGAGAGACTAAATGATGAACTTCTTCTGAAATCAGACCTAGAAACTGTTGTACATCAGCTTGAACAAGAAAAGCAAAGACTTAGCAAAAAAATGGAAGGTTTTGCAGCTATAGGTAAGATTTAAAATGTTAACTAAGAAGTGACAGTGGTTTGTTCTTCATATGTTATCTTTCATAGTATGTGATAGTTCATTCATTCACTTAATGAGTATTTCTTGAGTGATTACTATGAACTAGAAACCATGATAGCTACTATAGATAAAGTACAAATCTCAAGGACCTTAAGAATTCTTTTACATTTTGACTCATTGGTACAAGGAATCTTCTTGAATACTTTGCAATGGAAGTATATTTTTCTTTGAGATAGAGAGATAACAGAATTAAGACTAAGAAGACCAGTCAGAAAAAGAAAATTATAGAATCTTTTTTTGGAAATACAGTTGTATCAACTTAAAATGCACACTCACTGTTTCTGTTTGATCACCTACTACCCCTTAACTCCTCAATCCACTCTAGTTGGCCTGTCCCCATGTCACCAAAGAAACTACTATTGTTAAAGTCATTATTCTCCTCCATTATGCTAAATGCAATGGGTGTTTTTCATTTATTAGCTTGTTTGACTTCTTAGAATTTAACACAATTGTCCATCCTTTCTCACTCTCCTACTTTCTTCTTACCTCCTCCTGGTTATCCATTTGGATGAAATTTGTCAGTTCAGCCTTCGGTTTGCATTACACACTATAGCTTATGTCTTTTTGCTATAAGAATAATTATTTGGCCATGGTTGTGATTTTTATATTCGAATCCTTAGTGTTTTCATATAGTAAATGCTCAAAACATATCTGCTGAATGAATTAAAGAAGAGATGGGAGTGAATCAGAATACATCATGAAAATCATTCCATGCCCCAGAGTTGTAATTAAATTGAATTGCACTGCACAAAATTTAAGCATTCAGTTACTTTTGATTTCTGTGTTAAAAGTTAATAATTGTGCTTTTCTGAAGGAAGATGAGTTATTGTGATCTCTTTGTATATTCGTGTACTATATTAAATTCAAGGTTAATATTAAATTTGTACATATTATGATTAATTATTTGCAGGTATATTTTCTTCCAGTACATTTTCAGTTCCCTAGAAGATACCATGTGGGAATTTATTGCTTCATTTTGTAGTACTAAATAGTGTCCATCTTGTGATAGACAAAAGCTGTGGGGGACTTTGACTTTTTGGACTTTATTTAAACATTTGATATTTTGCCCCCCCCACACACACTTTCAATATTTACCTTTGATATATCTGCTAGTTGCAGGTGATACATAAAACAGCTCAGAATTTCTAGTAGCTTTCATACTAAAAGCTATTGATATTATTTATTTGGCTAATCCACATTTTATATACAACATCATTTTAAGATTTAACCACTTTAATTTGCAGAAAAAGAACTTACTTTGGAAGTTGAAAGGATGAGGCTAGAACATGGAATAAAACGTCGAGACAGGTCACCTTCTCGTTTAGATACATTTCTGAAAGGTATAGAAGAAGAACGAGATTATTATAAGAAAGAACTAGAAAGACTCCAACATATAATACAACGAAGATCTTGCTCTACAAATCATTGCGCACGTGAAAAACATTCAATATTTAAAACACTAGAAAAGGTAATATCCTTTTTATAAGAGTAATCAATAAGGCAAGAGAGGATCAGTAGGAAACTTTTCTGCTTTATGATTGTGTTAACTTTATTCGTAGTTGCTTTTAAAAAGCCCCTAATTTTGATTTTTGTTTTTGTCTGTGACTTGTAGCGTAGGAACCCTGCGTTAATTAGGGACACTACCCAACTACAGCATTTAGCATTCTCATTTTCTGGAAATTAAGAAAAGATTGTATAACTGAGTCATGGGAGAAGTACAGAGGCTTCTGGGTTTCTAGAAACTGGAGCTCAGGGACTCAGGCTGCTGGACATATTCTCTATTTTTTCTAGAATTTACTTTCTCTATTAACTACATTTTCTCTGTGGTAGCAGAGTGGCTTTGTCCAGATGGCAGACAACATGGCTTCCTGTCATTTCCATCCTTGGTTGGACCAGTTAGGAAGATGTGTCACATTCTGCTACCAGACAACATCTTCACCACAAACCATACTGTGGGAAAAGCGGTAGATATTGAAAGCTGAACAGATTATTCTGCCCATCTTCTACAACCACATTTGCAAGTTGATAGACTAAAGATGTTACTTTGTTTTTGTTTTTTAATTTTGTTGTTGTTGTTGTTAGTTGTTTATGGATAGCATGTCTTTATTTTATTTGTTTATTTTTATGTGGTGCTAAGGATTGAACCTAGTGCCTTACACATGCTAGGCAAGTGTCCTGCCACTGAGCTTCAGCCCCAGCCCTAAAGATGTTACTTTGAAAGCCAGGTTTGATGTTGCATACCTCTAATCTAAGCTATTCAGTGGGTTGAAGCAAGAGGTTCAAGGTCAGCTGGGCAACTTAGCAAGACTCTATCTCCAAAAAAAATATTTATTTTGTATATATTATTTCTTACATTTCTTTTATGCTATTGGAAATCAAATCCAGGGTGTTACACATGCTAGGCAAACACTGTACCACTGAGCTACATTCCCAGCCATTTTTTTTTTTTTTTTTTCAGTATTGAGGATTGAACCTGAAAAGGTAATATCCTTTTGTAAGAGTAATCAATAAAGCAAAAGAGGATCAGTAGGAAACTTTTCTGCTTTATGATTGTGTTAACTTTATTCGTAGTTGCTTTTAAATATCTACCACTAAGTTACATCCCTAGTTCTTTTCATGTTTTGTTTTTTTGAGATAGAGTCACTGATTTGTCAAGGCTGTCCTCAAACTTAAAATCTTCCTGCCTGGCCTCCCAAGTAGTTGGAATTACAGGCATGTGCCACCACGTTTGGCCTGTATATATTTTCTAATTACATCTCCCATTGTATGTATTATTTAATGTTGACCACGATTCATGAGAGGTTAAAATCATGTCACTATTTTAAGGCTTAAATTATTTTCAATGTTTGTTGAGTATCATTTGAGTTCTTTAGATTTTTTTCTTTCTTTTTTTCTTTTTTCTTTCTTTTTAGCTTTGGATTTATATGTGTCCCGAAAGCATATATGACCCTAACATGATCTACATAGTAGGTAAAACTAGGGGAATTTAGGGAGAAAGTCATTAAAATCAAAATATTTGATTTTAGAATTGGATGATTTTACCAATTCTGTCATCTTTTCTCTGTGGATCCTGTGTCCACTGTCAAATAGTTTTGTGTTTTCTGATTAGACTTTTTGCTTTTTAACCTCATTTCCTAATGACCGAATTTTGATTGACAGTTGTATAAATGTTTGATTTTTTTAGTGTGAACACTGTCTAATTTATTATCATCAGAATGAAGTGAAAGGGAACTATAGTGCAAGTTAATTTTTATCATTGAATTTTTTATCTTTCATATATACTTAGAATGCAGGAGGGGGAGTTATAAATTGATCGTTTTTATTGTGTAGAAGACTCTTCCACAAAATGGTTGATTGGTTTAATTGATTAAGAATTTATTAAGAAGCATTGAGTAGATAAGTATCTCAAAGCTTTTAACCTAAGTATTTGATTTAGTTGCTTGGTATAAATTCACAATTGAAAGACAAGTGATAGATATTGATAAGGTATTGGTATAATTAGGAGATACCTTTTCTTCTGTTCAACTTAATTTTTTTTCTTGAAATTTTATATTACCTAGCATATACTAAGAATTAATTTTCTAGAGATCAGAAATTCAGGGTGTTCAGAGTATTTTAGAGTTCCAGTAATAAATTGTGGGTATGGTAGGGAATAATGGTTAAGTACATTATTGAAAAATAAGGCAATTGTGAATCCTGGGAACTGGGGAGAACATTGCCTACCTAAAATTCAGTTACATTTCGAAATATTTTGTATTTTTTTTAATATCTTTACGTTTATTTTTTTAAATTTTTATTTATTTTTTAAATTCTAATTTGTCATGTATGACAGCAGAATTCATTGCAATTCATACTAATAGAGCACAATTTTTCATATCTCTGGTTATATACAAAGTGTATTCACACTATTCGTGTCTTCATACATGTACTTTGGATAAAAGATAGGAAAAGAAGGACTCAAATTAGCACTGTTTGCTGACGATATGATTCTATACCTAGAAGACCCAAAAAGTTCCACCAGAAAACTTCTAGAACTAGTAAATGAATTCAGCAAAGTAGCAGGATATAAAATGAACAACCATAAATCAAAATCATTTCTGTATATCAGTGACAATCCTCTGAAAGAGAAACGAGGAAAACTATCCCATTTACAATAACCTCAAAAACAAACAAACGAAAAAAAAACTTGGGAATCAACTTAACGAAAGAGGTAAAAGACCTATACAATGGAAACTACAGAACCCTAAAGAAAGAAATTGAAGAAGACCTTAGAAGATGGAAAGTTCTACCTTTCTCTTAGATGGGCAGAATTAATATAATCAAAATGGGCATACTACCCAAAGCACTATACAGATTTAATGTAATTCCAATCAAAATCCCAATGGCATTTCTCATAGAAATAGAAAAAGCAGTCATGAAATTCATCTGGAAAAATAAGAGACTCAGAATAGCTGAGGCAATCCTTTGCAAGAAGAGTGAAACAAGTGGCATCGCTATTTTTTTTTCTTCTTTTTTTTTTTGTTTTTGGTTCCAAGATTTGAACCCAGGGGCACTTAACCACATCACCAGCCCTTTTTATATTTTATTCAGAGACAGGGTCTCATTAAGTTCTTAGGGCCTTGCTAAGTTGCTAAGGCTGACTTTGAACTCACCATCCTCCTGCCTCAGCCTGCTGAGTTGCTGGAATTCCAGGTGTGTGCCACCATGCCCAGCTATTATTTTGTATTTCTTTCTAAAACTGTATTTACTACTAGCTATGAGTTTTCAATTCCTACCTTTTTACAAACTGTTTTAATGTAGTTTCTTGGGATTGTAACAAACCAGAAAACAAATTGACATTTTTAGTGTCACTAATTTTATCAACAAAACTTTGTTAATTCTGGTTTTTTTTTTTTTTGTGTGTGTGTGTGTGTGTGTTGGGAAGACACCACCCATCCACCATGGTTCCTATTGGCAGTTTTGAGGATAGTTTGGGGAAAGTGCTTTGGAGTTGGAGGCATAGTGCAAGTTCCAACTCCAACTCCACAAACTGGCATTACTCCATGCAAACCTGTCTCCTCATTTGAAGAATAGGGAAAGTAGCTACAACTTATTGTGAAAATTAAATGAGATAATTTGTATAAGGGTCCAACATAACACATAGTTCCCAATACATGGCTCATTTCTTTATTATTTGCTGGTTTGAAACAAATCAGATCTAGGTAGAAAGTTCAGTAGATAGATACCAAGTGCCTGCTATGAGAATACAGAGATAAAGAAGACAGTTCCTGTCCTTGGAGCCTTCACATTGCATGTGTGTGTCACATTTGTATGCTGGGAATAATAAAGTTGTGGAGGGGAATTAATGATTATATATTAACAATAATATAAATGTAGATATTTAAACTGAACACAGTGGTGCTGTAATCCCAGCTACTCAGGAGGCTAAGGCAGGAGGATTGCAAGTTTGAGGCTAGCCTCAGAAACTTAGCCAGATTCTATCTCGAAACATAAAAAAAAGGACGAAAGATGTAGCTCAGTGGTAAAGTACTCTAGGTTTAATCCGTATTACCAAATAAATAAATAAATACATTGAAATGTAGATATTTAAACAAGATATATGTAGAGTAGAGTTTTTGCTGATGTAAGCCAAATTATGTTCAGGGAATTTGTCTTATTAGGTACCATACTGAGCACCAAACTTGTAGTGAACAAGACCAAATACCTATCATGTCCTTCATAGAACTTAAATTTTAGTGGAATATACTTTAAAAACAAGATTTTTTTTTTTTTTTTTTCAGTTCCAGGAATTGAATAAAGGGCCTCATGCTTGCTAAGTATGTGTGGTACCACTGAACAACATCCCCATCCTCTAACTTTTTAATCTCATTTATAATAAGGGTTAATGTAGAATGTATAGAAAAGATTCAGAACTAAAAGAACATAGAAAATCTAAATTAAACTAGAGAATCTGGAAGGATTCCTTGCAGAAAATGACTTTTAAGCCGAGACCTAAATAGTAATGGAAATAGACTGTTAAATCTTTATTCATTGAGCTCTCCTTTTCTAGAATCTGTATAGGCCAACTTTTTTCTGTAAGATTTTTAAATTTAGATAAGTTACAGTTTTCTTTACCAGTTTTAAGCCTTGATCAAGTCCTAAAATCCTGATCTGATTTTGTCCTATTAAACATCTTGCCTTTAAGGTGTCTAAGTAACTAATCTCATCTTTTATGCCTTGATTTTGCTTGTTAGCCAAGAGGATAATTTATTTCCACATGGAAGGTGAGGGATATACCCCACAGCTATCTACCATTTATCAAGTCTACATTGATATTGTATGTGCAGTAGATACTGGATAATATAGGCCAGGACTCTTTCCACTGTACCAAATAATCAGATTATTCCTACTTGGGACTTCTACATTTAATATTTCAACATTAAAATACTATAAATTGGGCTGGGATTGTGGCTCAATGGTAGAGCCTTGCATGCGTGAGGCACTAGGGTCAATCCTCAGCACCACATAAAAATATTGGGTCCATCTATACTAAAAAAATTTTAAATAAGGTACTATAAATTTACCATTTTTAGTTTTCACGATAACAGTGAAGATAGTGGATCTTTCCTTTTTCTTTTCTCCTTTTTTTTTTTTGTTGGTTACAATCAAACCCAGAGCCTCACGCGTGCTAGGCAAGCACTCTGCAAGTGAGCTATATCCCCAGTCCAAGATAGTGAATATTTTGAATTGTATTGGAAAAGTAGCCTTATTCTTATTTTAGAAATGTTGGAAGTAGTTGCTTAATTTGGTTAGTATCCTTAATATACATTGCCTTGTAGAATATTTACATTTGTCTAGTTCCAGAGATAGACCTCAGTAGGTGTGAAACTAGAACAATTGGTGTTGATGTGCTTGGGGAAATTGATCTTAATATTCAGCCAGAGAAAACACTGAGGAATACACTAGGCTATTAAAATTACTTGTACTGGGTGAATAAGCACATATAATAATACCTCCCTTATCCCTTCCCTGGAGAGGAAAGGATCCTTTATAACTAATGGTAAGTTTGGGATAGGTTTCAAAGTTTGTACGTATAGCAAATTTTTATATGCTGCTGATGCTTCTGGTCTAAGGTTATGCTGTAATTTTTTTTTAATGTAGTTGAGATTGAACACAGGGGCCTCATACAGAGTTATACTTTAAGTACCACTAATATGAACATCTCTAGTAGATGTTTGTCAAAGCATCTAAATGATTGTCAAAGCATCTGATGGAATCTGATCAGGTAGAATCATTGGCAATTGGGTCCTTTGCTGGAAACCTAAAGGCCAGGAAATTTGCCCAGTACTGTCAGTGCCTTCATCTACTCTCATTATAGATTAAAAAACAATTGTGTTCCTTAGTTACATTAAAGGAACTTATGTTCTTGTTGTCTGTTAGCTTCTTTCAGTCAGTCTCATCGCCAGCATCTTTATGACAACCATGTAGTAATGATGATTATAACAAATAATAATTTCTGTATTTTAATTATGTTTCAGGGTGATTATAATTCAGATATTCATCTGATTGCAAGAGAAAGAGATGAACTTCAGCGTATGCTAGAAAGATTTGAAAAATATATGGAAGATATACAGTCCAATGTTAAATTATTGACAGCAGAAAGAGATAAACTAAGTGTCTTATATAATAAAGTAAGAAGTTTGCTGTAATTAAACAAATAGATTATTTAGAACTAGCTAACTTTAATGGAATGTATATGTATTCTTCAGATTTCTGTAACATATGGACTTCCTTCATGATTAGATTTATACTTCTATGGTCAATTGTGTTCTCAAAGCAGAGATTTCCTTCTTTGTTTACATTCTTGCTCTTTTCTAGCCTATTTATGTGTATGGTCAATTAGAGATAGCCTCCTTCTAAAACTACCTGAGCAAGTCTTAGCCTGACTCTGAGCAAAATTTATCCCTGGGATTCATATGTGCCCCAGCATGCATCCCAGGTTTAAACTTGGGTAGCACCACTATTTGAAATATTGGCTATTAAAGACTTAACCTCAAGTGAAGAAACCGCTCGAGGGAAGAGAAAATTGGTATAACTTGGCCCCATTACAAAGCCTAATTTGTCAGAGGGCAAGGTGAGGCCGAACAAAGCCTGGAGTCTATCATCAAAATTTTTCCAATACCAATACCTATGAAGTCTTGTTGCTACTTTTACAGGAAGAGAAGACATGTAAGTTAAAAGGTCCACTTAAAAGAGCTATTTTCACTTTTGGATCTTTTTTTAGGATTTAGTAGTATAAATTGATCTACTTCTATTATTTCCTTGCAGCTGGCATGGATTTTAGCTTTCTTGGTCAACTTAGTTAATTCCTATTTGTCTGCAATCTAGTTTCCAACATTTTGTGGCTGCAGCCTATCAATCTTCTTGTTCTTTTGTTGTTTTTGATTTTATTTAATTTTGATCCTTTTGCTCTCATTTTGTTGGGATTTGGGAAGAGAGTAAAAGTACCATGTGTTCAGATGCCTTTTTTTAAAACAGGGAACATATCCCAAGTGTTTTTTATTTATATCTTTTAATTCTTTAAGGCTCAAGAAGAATTATCTGCACTAAAACAGGAATCCACTCAAAGCACAGGGCCAAATTATCTCCTTAGTCTTATGGAAAAGGAAAAAGAACTTGCATTATCTGACTTAAGAAGAATTATGGAAGAAAAGGAAGCTTTAAAAGAAAAATTAAAAGTAAGTAGTAAAATTAAATTTTTTTGAAAGGTAACTTATTAAGAAAAATATTTTTGTTCATATATTCTGTGAAGTTACAATTCTGAATATATAATTAAAATGTGGTTGACAAATTATAGTCATGCTGGCCAAATTCAGGCCACCTTGTTTGTGTATGTATGGCCTATAGCTAAAAAGTGTTTTTGCATTTTTTAAACTGTTGAAAAATGCCAGGTGTGGTGGTACACTCCTATAATCCCAGCTACTTGAGAGGCTTAGGTAGAAGAATAGAAAATATGTGTCCAGCTGTGGCCAGTAAGCTGAAACCCTGTCAAAAAAAATCAAAGGCTGAAGATGTAGCTCAGTGGTAGAGTGCCCCTGGTTCAGTCCTAAGTACTGAAAAAATCAAATCAGAAGAATTTTGTTTATAATGTAGTACTGAAATTTATTTACATATTGTCTAAAGCTTTTTTGTGCCACAATGGCAGAGGTAAGAAACTGCAACAGAGACATTTGGCTCTAAAGCCTAAAATATTTAGTGTCTGTTTTTTTTTTTATTATCAGAAATCAAAAGGAAATTTTTCATATGAAGATGGACATCTTTTTTTTTTAATAACAATTTTATGGAGTTTTTTTAATACTATACAGTTCACCCATTTAAAATGTACAATTCAGTGGTTTTCATTTTATTGACAGATTTGCATGATCATTTCCACAATAAATTTTAGAAATTTATCACCACCACAGTAAGAAACCTTCATACCCATTAACATCACATCCTATTTCTCCCAAGTTTCCTTAGTCATAGGCAACCACTAATTTACTATCTGTCTCTGTGCATTTGCCTACTACGATGTTCCATATAAATTAAATAATGGCATATATGAATCTTTAAATATTTATTATTATTATATGTGTATATTTTTGCAGTGACCTTTGCACTCCACCACTTGGTCATTTCAACAGATACCAAAAAGATAAGTGCTTGTGCTAAAAGCTACCATATTGCATAGACACTAAATTCCCAATCCAAATAAGTAAGTTTTTAGGTCTGACTTCTCTCATGGGCATGATGTTTTCAAGGTTCATCAAGAATGATGCTGTTATGAACATTTGTATACAACTTTTTCTGTGGATGTATGTTTTAATTTGTCTTATGTATGTACCTGGTCATATCGTAACTCTGCGTGATTTGCTAAATTTGTCTTTAACCATTGAGAGGCCAGGCTGTTTTCCAAAGTTGACTATACCATTTTTTATCCCACCAGTAATGATTAAGGGTTCTAATTTCTCCACATTCTCACTAATACTTGTTGTTATCTTTAATGGGAGTGAAGTATCCATTATGATTTTTATTTGCATTTCCCCTGTAGCTAATGATGTTGAGCATCTTTTTATGTGCTTATTTACCATTTTTTAATCTTTTTTTTTTTTTTTTGGCCTCATATTAGCTTCTAAGAGTTCTTTATAAATTTTTGATAACAGCTTCAATAGATTTGTGGTTTGCAAAACATTCCCCCATTCTGTGGGTCATCCTTTTACTTTTTTTTTTTTAAGTTGCAGTTGGACAAAATACCTTTATTTTATTTACTTTTCTGTGATGCTGAGGATCAAACCCAGGGCCTCGCACATGCTAGGTGAGCACTCCACTGCTGAACCACAACCTCAGCCCCCTTTTACTTTCTTAATATGGTATCTTTGAAGCACAAAAATTTTTAATTTTGATGAGGTTCAATTTATTCTTTTATTACTTGTGCATTTGGTGTCATATCTAGAGGCAATATTTTGTATTTCCTATTTTCTCCCCAAAACATATTTACTAATACCTGTAAAGCACATAATGGTGCTCAGCATATTGTAAGTTCTAAATGTTGTTATTATGGAATCCATAGTTTTCTAGCAATTAATATTATGAAATTAATACTTTGAAAATAGCAGTTAAAATCAGGAATAAATGCATGCATTTTAAAGGTAGTCTTTATGTCACAAATTTTCAGTTAATTTTTTTATTCCAAAAATACAGTTTAAGAATGCTTCTAATTGCGATCTTTTGGAATACTGCCTTCCAGAAATTGTTCTCTTATAAAAAAAAAAAAAAAGTGTTATAATTACCAAATAAAAAACTTCTGTGCAATATGGCAGCTTTTAGCACAAGCTACTCACTCACTCTTTTCCATATCTGTTGATGCTCAAGGAATTTAAAAATATGATTTAAAAAGTGCAGTACTGGAAACTGGAAAAAAGCAATATTCAAATTACCAGAATACTTCTGGGTTGTGGGAAACAGTATTTGGTGATTTTATGGTAGATCTTTTACTTAAAAACTGAACTAATAATCTCAGTCCTTGAGCTTCCTCTAGTATCTTTGTTATTCTACTACTCACTCATTTGTCAAATCCAGGCAACTTTACTAAGCTCTCCCTGAAATCTCTTGTATTTCAGTTAATAACCAAGTCCTATCAGTGCTACCTCTTAAATAATGTTAAATATTTAGTAAGCCTTTCCCCATGTGGGAGATTCTGTTCCAAATGCTTTTTATATGAACTATCTCAGTAAATCTTTTGTTTAATTGGCAAAATTATTTTATTTATTTTTGTTGATTTTTAAAAAAAAATCAATGACAGTAAAATGCATTATAATTCTTATTACACATATACAGCACAATTTTTCATATCTCTTTATATGAAATATAAAGTATGTTGACACCAATTGATATCTTCATACATGTACCTCGGATAATGATGTCTATCACATTCAACCATCCTTGCTAATCCCCAGCCCTCTCCCTTTCCCTCCCACTCCTCTGCCCTATTTAGAATTCATCTATTCCTCCCATGCTCCCCCTCCGTACCCCACTATGAATCAGCCTCCTTGTATCAGAGAAAACATTCGGCATTTGTTTTTTAGGGATTGGCTAATTTCACTTAGCATTATCTTCTCCAGTGCCATCCATTTACCTGCAAATGCCATGATTTTATTCTCTTATTTCTGAGTAAAATTCCATTATGTATGTATGTCACATTTTTTTTTATCCATTCATCCACTGAAGTACATCTAGGTTGGCTCCACTGTTTAGCTATTGTGAATTGTGCTGCTATAAATATTATGTAGCTGTGTCCCTATAGTATTCTGTTTTTAAGTTTTTTGGGTATAAACCAAGGAGAGAGATAGCTGGGTCAAATGGTGGTTCCATTCCAGATTTCCAAGGAATCTCCATACTGCTTTCCAGATTGGCTACACTAATTTGCAGTCCCACTAACAATGTATGAGTGTACCTTTTTCCATCTCTCTCATCATGCACAAAACTCAAAGTGGATCAAGGACCTAGGAATTAAACCAGAAATTCTGCATCTAATAAAAGAAAAAGTAGGCCCTAATCTTCATCATGTGGGATTAGGCCCCAGCTTCCTTAATAAGACTTCTATAGCATAAGAATTAAAACCAAGAATCAATAAATGGGATGGAGTCAAACTAAAAAGTTTCTTCTCAGCAAAAGAAATAATCTGTGAGGTGAATAGAGAGACTATATCTTGGGAGCAAATTTTTACCCCTCACACATCAGATAGAACACTAATCTCTAGGGTATATAAAGAACTCAAAAAGCTAAGCACCAAAAAAACAAATAACCCAATCAACAAATGGGCCAAGGACCTGAACAGACACTTCTCAGAAGAGGATATACAATCAACAAATATATGAAAAAATGTTCATCATCTCTAGCAATTAGAGAAATGCAAATCAAAACTACTCTCAGTAAATCTTCGTAAAGAAGCTTTTTACTGCTTGTAGGTAAGTTCTGTGAGTTACAGTGAGTTTAAATAACTTTCAGAAGCTTTCCCAGCTGTAAGTCACAAGGAATCTGGCCCCTAAGTTCATGTTACTTTCATTTAAATTTGTTTACTTTTTTGTGTTTTCCTGCTACCATCTTATTTGGGTTATTAATCTACATATCTATATTAATAGCTTCTTTACTTCACCTTGGGTCATTGTTATGCTTTGAATATGAGGTGTCCTTCAAAAACTCCTGTGTTAATACTGAATATTCACAGGTAAATGATTGGATTGTGAGAGTTACAATCAAATTAGTCCATCCTAGTTTGAATGGACTGATTTGGTGGTGACTGTAGGCAGGTATGGTATGGCTGGAGAAGGTGGGCCTCTGCAGGTGTGTCCTGAAAAAGTTCGAGTTCTCTGTGGTTCCTTTTCTGTCCTCCCTCTCTCTGCTTCCTTCGGCCATGAGGTGAGCAGCTTTCCTCTGTGGAGCCCTTAGGACATGATGTTCTGCCTCACTGTGGGCCCAGAGCAATGGAGTTGACTGACTGTGGACGGAAACCTCTGAAACTGTGAGCTCCAAATAAGTTTCCCTCCTCTAAGTCGTTTTTGTGAGGGATTTTGGTCATGACAACACAAAGTTGACTAAAACAGATTCTGAGAGGTGGAACCTCATCAGTGGATTAATCCATTTGATGAATTGATAATTTTAATTGACTACTGGGTATTAACTATAGGCAGGTGGGGCATGCCCCTTGGGTGTTATTTTTGTTTCTGGCTCCTTGCACATGGGTGTTTCTGGTCCCCGCCGCCCCCTGCTTCTTGAATGCCACAAACTGAGTAGCTTTCTGCTATTGTGTCCTTCCACCATGAGCTTTTCCTCACCTTGGGCCCAGAGCAGTGGAGTCAACTGATGATGAAGCCTGAAAGATTGAAATCTGAAACTATGAGCCCAAAGTAAACTGTTCTCCTCTAACTTGTTCTTGTCAGGATTTTTTTTTGTGGGGGTAGGGGACTGGGTATCAGGGATTGAACTCAGGGACACTTAACCACTGAGCCATATCCCCAGCCCTATTTTGTATTTTATTAGAGATGGGGTCTCACTGAGTTGCTTCATGCCTCACTTTTGCTGAGGCTGGCTTTGAACTCATGATCCTCCTGTCCCAGCCTCCCGAACCACTGGGATTACAGGTGTACATGACTGTGCCTAGCCTTGTCAGGTATTTTAGTTACAACCATGAAGTGCTGACCAATACAGTCAATCTTTCAAAGATATAAGTCTGATCATGTCCCTTCCTATTTAAAATCTATTAACTTCTTTCCAAAGACTTCAGTATTTGGCCCTAGCTTCTTTTCTACATACTCACCTCTGCTGTTTGCCTCACTTTTCTTAACGTTCCAGACTTAATAGACTTTTTTTGCTTCTAACCTTCCATATGAAAGATTCCTTCACCCCTTCCAATTCCTTTGTCTAGCTAATTCTTATTCATCATTTATGTTCAGATTAAATGTCATTATCCAGACAAAAAAGAACATAGACATTAGATTCTTTTTGATATATGAGCATAAAGTTCTGGCCACATCAATGTTTACAGCAGCTCAATTCACAATAACTAAGTTATGAAGCCAACCCAGGTGCCTTTTAATAGACAAATAGATAAAAGAAATGTGGTGTATATACACAATGGAATATCAGTCTTAAATAAGAATGAAATTATGGCATTTGCCGGTAAATGGATGAACTGGAGACTATCATGCTAAGCAAAATAAGCCAATCCCAAAAAATCAAAGGCTGAATGTTCTCTCTGATATGCAGATTCTAACACACAATAAAGGGGGAATGAAGAACAGAAGCTCATTGGGTTAGAGGGGAATGAAGGGGAGGGGTGCGGATGGGAATAGGAAACACAGAATGAATCGGACATAACTCTCCTGTGTTCATATATGAATATACAGCCAGTGAAGCTCCACATCATGCACAACAAGAAAAGAATACTAATTAGAATAAATTATACTCCATGTATAAAGAACAAAAATAAATAAATTTTTAAAAACTAGCCCTGTGTTTATACTGTTGACCAGCCTACTCTTGAAACTCTGATCTTCTGTCTGGTGTTGTATTCTATTTCCTGTCTTTCTGTTCTTGTATTTTTTTCCTTCATGCCCTGTTTTGCTTACATCTCTTATAGGGTATATTCTTAAGCTTGTTACTTAACCTACTGAACTTTTCCCTTCATAGTTGTGCTAATATAGGTTGACTTGTCTAAGTCTTTATGAATGAACCCATACCAGTCTGTGTCTTCTGCTGCAATCATGTATGGAGGTAGATAATGTAAAAACATGAGAACCTATTATGCTTTTTTTCTTCCTATACTTTTTATTGATGCATTATAGTTGTACATATTAATGGGATTTGTTCTTACATATTCATACATGCACACAAAGTAACAATATAATTTGGCCAATATCACTTCCAGCTGTCAGGCTTTTTTTTTTTTTAAACCAAAAGCATGGTTTTTATAAATTATCTAATGATTTTGTTTCTAAAACATTTCTGTTTTATCAAAAGATAAATATAATAGCATGTAGACTTACATTACTTACTTTGGTTGTTTTGCTTTATTGTCTGATATAAATGAACATTTTCTATAAAATTCTCTTTCAGAATATCCAGGACATGAATGTTTTTGGCAAAACAGAATTAGAGAAAACTATTGAACATTTGACATGTGTTAATCATCAGGTAATTTATCAAACCAAGCAAATTGGGGTACATTATGTATTGTATTAATGCCTATGTCAATTATGTTTTTTCAAAGTATTTTTTTAGTTATAGATGGATACAATACCTTTATTTATTTTTATGTGGTGCTGAGAATCAAACCCAGTGCCTCACGTGTGCTAGGCAAGCGCTCTACCACTGAGCCACAACCCCAGCCCTCAATTATGGTTTTAATACAATATGTTTTTAAAATTACAAAGTAATATGCTAGTAATGTTGTGTAGCAGAGAATAGGAATATGTACACTCAAGGCTGATTACTTGGGTTCAAATCCTCCTTTGTCTCCTATCACCTATAGGCAAGTTACTTGACCTGTATGTCCCTCAATTTCTTCAAAATGTAGGAGTAGTGTTAGTACTTCTTAGGGTTTTTGTGAAAATTAAATGGATTAATAATACATATGAAGAATTTAGAAGCGTACTTGGGCCAGGTGTGGTGGCGCATGTCTACAATCTCAGCAACTCATTTGATTGAGACAAGAGGATGGCAACTTTAAAGCCAGCCTCAGCAACTTAATGAGACTCTAAGCTAATTAATGAGACCCTCTCGCAAAATAAAAATGGCTGGGGATGTGGGTCAGTGGTTAAGCGCCCCTGGTTTTAATCCCCAAAAGAAGCAGAGTGTAAGCATTTGTTAGTTGTTAGTTATGATTATTGTGGTTTTGGTCTTATAAAAATAATTATATAATACAGTCATAGAGTAAAAAGTGAAATTCACCCTTGCTGTTCATTGCAGTCATCTCTTAATATCCCCAGGGTATATCCATTCATATACCATAATCTAAAGATGCTAAAGTACCCTATATAAAATGGCATAATTCTTGCAAATAATCTGTGCACATTCTCTCATATACATTAAATCATCTCTAGATAATTTATAATGCCTAATACAATGTAAATGCTATATGAGTAGTTGTTATACTCTCTTGCTTAGTGAATAATGAATAGAAAAGGCTGTACATATTCAGTACAGATCCAACCATCATATTCAGTCTATAGTTCGCTGAGTCTGTGAATGTGGAACCCATGGATACAGAAGACCAACTGTACTCTCTCTAGAGATAGGATTTTTAACAATTTGGTGTGTTCCCAACAATCTTCTGTTTCATTTCAATTAAGTTCTATTACTGTTTTCACTTATTTGCCTTCTAATTCTGTCATTTGGGTCAGTTGACTTTTCTCCTTATCATGAATTATATTTTCCTGGGTTTTGTTTTGTTTTGTTTTTTGCATACCTTGTAATTTTAGATTGGATGCCACCCATTATTGATTTTATTCTCTTGGTTGCTAAATAGTTTGTAGAATCGATACTCTTGTGGTTTGTTCTAGGATGCAGTTAAATCATAAGCAAAATAGCTTGTTCTATTCATTCTTCATTTTAAGCTTCATTAGGTGGAACCAAAGTAGCATTTAGTCTTGAGCTAATTTTGTTTTCACTACTGAGATAAAACTCTTTTAAATATGCTACGGAGCTAGGGGCTGTAGCTCAATGGCAGAGCATTTGCCTAGCATGCGTGAGGCACTGGGTTCGATCCTCAGTACCACATAAAAATAAACAAGTAAAATAAAGGCATTCTGTCTGTCTACAACTACAAATTTTTTTTAAATAAATAAATAAATATGCTATGTGTTGCTCTGTGAATTATAAGGTTTTCAAATGACTAATAAGAACAGGAACTATTCCTGGTCTTGTATTGTCATGTGTTAATCATCAGGTAATTTATCAAACCAAGCAAATTGGGGTACATTATGTATTGTATTAATGCCTATGTCAATTATGTTTTTTCCTCCTCTTCTTCTTTTTTTTTTTTTTTTTTGAAAGAGGAAAAATGATTTATTGCTTTGATAACAAAGGAGAACAACAAGGGACTTCTGTCCCAGAGGCTATGCTTCTCAAGTATTGTCACTTTTTTTTAAAATATATTTTTTAGTTCGACACAATACCTTTATTTTATTTATTTATTTTTATGTGGTGCTGAGAATTGAACCCAGTGTGTCACACGTGCTAGGCAAGTGCTTCACCGCTGAGCCACAATCCCCAGCCCAAGTATTGTCACTTCTTGATGATTCTTCCCTAGTCTTGGCTAGTTTTCTATACTGAGCTCTACTTAGCTTAAGATTCAAGGGGCACCCTTTACAGATTTCTGGAGTTTTCACTCAGTGCAGTTCTTCACCTGCAGACTCCAGCTGCTTTGACTTTTAAGTCCTGTCTTCTGAATTTAGAGGGGTCCACGGAGTTCTACCTGGCTACTGTTTTCTATGCTATGGCCTAGAAATTCTCCAGGCAATAAGCTGGAGTGATCATAAAACTCATCTCATTTGCTTTCTCTCTCTCTCTCAGCGGTTTCTGTCTGTCATTGCTTTTTTCTCGGTATCTTGAAAACCATTGTTTCCTACATTTAGTCCAATTTTTATTTACTTCAAGCAGGAAAGTCTGATTCTTATCACTCCAGCATGACCAGAAGCAGGAATTAATAAACTAGAAAATATATCTGAAGAAAGTATTGGAAGTCCTTGGAAAGAGACTAAGAGATAGAAAATAGAAAAGAAGTTAAAATGTTAGAGAATAGATTGAAAAGGTCTGGTATGTGTCACAATTTGAGGAGGATGCAATACGATATTTGAGAGAAGCAGTATTCAAAGAGATGATGATATTATTTAGATATTGTGAAAACACAGAAGTCCTCTGATTCAAAATGCACAGTGAATTGATACATAAACTAATTCAGATCAGTGAGGATAGGAATGATTATTTTGTAACTTTGTAATTGTTTCTGGGACAGTAGCTTCTTATATTAAAATAAGAAAAAGAAATTGGATTTTATCTCAGATACACCATACCCAAAAAGTCATTTCAAGGTCTGGGGATGTGGCTCAAGTGGTAGCATGCTCGCTGGCATGCGCAGGGCGCTGGGTTCGATCCTCAACACCACATAAAAATAAAATAAAGATATTGTGTCCACCTAACACTAAAAAATTAAACACTAAAATATTTTTAAAAAGTCATTTCAAGTCTGTTTGAATATCCAAAACAAACCACATTTATTAAAGAAATGCAGGAGAAAATCTTGACCTTGGGGGAAATAAGAGCAGTCATTTACATAGCATTTACTATGTGTCAGGCACATTTTTCAATGTGATACACACAGGCATATCTACGTACACATATATACATACACAGATACATATGTAATATGTATATATAGGTAATAATTCTCAAAACAACTATATGTAGTAAATGCTATATTAACTTCATTTCATAGATAAGAAAACAAATAGAAGGAAAACTTGCCCAAGATCACATAGCTAGCAGGTATCTGGTCCAGAGTGTATGCTGTGAAATAACACATAAGTTAATTCCTTAAAGGAAAACATAGATAAGTACATTAACAAAACAGACATTGTTTAGCTGCTAACCATAAAATGAAAAGACACTACTAATTCAGAAAACAAATTGCTACATGTTTGGCACTTTTGCCAGACACCCCCCCCCCCACACACACACACAAAATTCAACAGGTATAGCTGGAAATATGGCTCAGTAGTAGAGCTCTTTCCTAGCATGGATGAGGCCCTGAGAGCCATCCCTAGTACTAGGGGGAAAAAATCAAGTGTGAATAGATATTTCATGAAGGAAGAAATTGCAAATTACTGATGTTAGAAGATGTCCTACCTCAATGGTAGGAGAAATACAAAGTAAAACTATAATAAAATCATCTTATAAATCAGGTCATCAGAAATTAACAAATTGTGACAAGTATTTGCAAGTATATGTAGTTCCTGAGAGTGCAAATTAGTTAACTCTTTATAAAATAATTTGGCATTATCTAGCAAAGGCATGTTATATAACCAGTTCCATCTCTAAATATGTACTCCAGGTGGGGATCAACAAATTATGACCCATGGACCAATTCAACCCATCCAGTCTGTTTTTATAAATTCAGTTTTTATCATATCACATTTGATTATTTATTTCTGTATTGTTTGTGGCTGATTTCGTCTTTCAGTGGAGTAGTGGTAACAGACTTTCGGGCCCACAAAGCCTCAAATATTATTCTCTGATAGGATAGGAGAAACAATCTAGTTGTCAATTTTGAGGAAGATGGATAAATGGTTGTAATTCATTCAGTGGAGTGTCACAGAGAAGCAGAAATGAACAATAGCTACTAATGGTCAATGTGTACAAATTTTACACCTAAAGTTACAGCACGTACAAAAGTTATACCAAAAAAGCAAATTGCTGGAGTTGGGAATGGACAGTGGTAGAGTGCTTGCCTAGCATGTGTGAAGCACTGGGTTTGATTATCAGCACCTTACATAAATGAAATAAAATAAAGGTCCATTGACACCTAAAAAAAAAAGTAAATTGTTGCAGAAAACATGCAGTATGATTCCACTAATGTGAAGTTCAAAAACATAATTGTAAAACTAACCAGTATATTGTTGAGGTTTTCATGCTAATGTAGTATACCAAAGAAAAGCAAGAAGTGGGGTACTAACATTAATTTCTATAGTCCCAATTACTAGGGAGGCTGAGGCAGAAGGAGAGTTCAAGATCAGCCTGGGCAATGTAGTAAAACCTCATCTCAAAGCAAAACAAAACAAAAACAAGAAATGAGAAACATAAGATACAGAATAGTGGTTACTGTGGGCAGTGGGTGGAAGATGTGTTTGGGGACTGCCCACAGTAGTTTCAAAGATTTAGATGGTATTTTTAAAGCCATGTGGTGGATATACAAACCAAACTCTCCCACTCCCTTGATAAACAAGATATATTGTCCATTTCTGTGATATTCACACTCTTTTAATTATAGTAGCTTTCTGGTTTTGCTATCTCATAGCTTTCTTTTTTCCTAAATGAATTTTAGAATAACATCTAAGCCACCCTCTTTTTAAAAAGGTTCAGTTAGGAATTTTATTAGAATTTCATTGGATATTTTGATTATTTACGAAAATTTCAGTACATTTACAGTTTTGTGTTTTCATCCAAAAACATGGTTGTCTGTATATCAAGCCAGGTTACATTTTGTGCCCTTCAAGAAAATTTTTGTTTTCTCGTATAAATCTCTCCCATTTTGTGTTTGGATTACAGCATTTTCTACTCTGGGTTTTCCTTAATTCAGTCCTACTTTTTGTTTTTTTAAAAGTTCCTCCAATTTTTCATTTTGTTTTCCCTTTCTGTTTCATTGAGGTTATGGATTTGTTCTTTCTTTATTGTTTGTTTGTTTGTTTGTATCTTTTCTTCCATTTTGGTGATAGTGAGAAGCATACATAAATGGGTATGCCAATTCTGAAATCTGTAACCTAATATACACATGACTTTTATAAAAAACATGTAATTTATTTCCTTAGTTTTTCACCATTTTATTATTATAAAGAGTGCCTATGAAAAATAAAATTGAAACATTAAGACATATGCCTATTAATTTTTTAAATTTAAATTATAGCTTGAAAGTGAAAAATGTGAATTACAATTGAAAGTGTTCCTAATGAAAGAAAAAATAGAGTCATTAGAGAACAAATCAAAATTTCAAGCTCAACAAATAAGCCAAATTGGCCATGTGCCTGGTGACTCATCTCATCAGAAAACAGAGATGAATTCCCTTAGGTAAGTTTATTGGAACTTTTTTTTTTTTTAATTTAACTCCTGGGAACATGTTTCTGATTATATAAGATTTACAACCATGGCATTTCAGATTGTGCCTTTGAATAGTAGTTTCCAAACTACTTCCAAACAGTAGTTTCCACAGATGCCATGGCCCCATCTCTACTCTCAGCCATGGCCATTAATTCAAAAACTAAATGAGGGATTTAGGGGATGAAGAAAAGACAAACAGACACACAGAGAAAAAGGTGGGGCCAGGTGGGACATTGCTCTCTGATGGAGAACCAGTGACCCAGAGCTAGTTCAGCACATTTATTATATGGGTTTCATGATCAAAAAGTTATTTGTGGGAAAGTTTTAGCAGAGCAGATAATCTGAAGAATGCAGGACTGGTGAGACATTTAATGTTATTACCTTATGGAATTAAAGAAATCAAGAGTAGTTGATTGTATATTTAGCAGTTGATGTTTAGCACCCCAATTTTGTAAATTAATCAGATGTCTCCTTTAACAGATTTATGATTAAATCCCACTGATGTTAAACCTAATTTACTCATTTTTAACTACAAAAACCAAGATATCAGAGCTGGGGTTGTGGCTCAGTGGCAGAGTGCTTGCATAGCATGTGTGAGGCACCAGGTTCAGTTCTCAACACCATATATAAATAAATAAAATAAAGGTCTATTGACAACTAAAAAAAATACTAAAAACAAAAAAACAAGATATCAGACAAATGTAGCTAACAGTATTTAGCAGATCAGAGTTTACTTTTGGCTTAGAGTCCTGAAATCCTCAAGAAAAATTTTTAAAGAAAAGAAAATTGTATAAAGGAAATCATTTCAATGTCTCCCTGTGCTGTAGTCTTAGGGAGGAACTTGTTAAGAAAGCAAGGTGGCAGGGTGCCAGAAAAAACAAGACAGCCCACAGCAGCAGGTTGAATTTAAAAGTGACATTTTTTTTTCCTTTGGTCTCAAACCAGTTTTTGCAGTTTACATTCTAAATGAAAGCCTAAGAGAGAGAGAGATCTAGCATAAACTAAGAAAGCATAATCTTAAGCATTGCAAATTAGAGATCCCTTTCTTTGGATCCCAGTTGTTTCATGGTTTAGACCCACCTATAAACTTGCTTCTCACTTTTCTTTGCTACCTCGGCCTCAGAAGCATCCTCCCATCTGAGCATTGAAGACGATCCCCTGTGTCCAGTCCCTGTTTGGGCACCAACTTTCTGGGCCCTCTCATTTTTGTTCTCAGCCACGGTCATTAATTCAGGGAAAGACACTGGACAAGTAGGAGCCATGGAGGATGAAGAAAAGACAAACAGATACACAGAGAGAGAAAGGTGGGGCCAAGTGGGACACTGCTCTCTGGTGGAGACACAGTGACCCAGAGCTAGCTCAGCATGTTTATTATATAGGTTTAATCACCAAAAGGCTATTTATTGGGGCTGGGGTTGTGGCTCAGTGGTAGAGCGTTCACCTAGCACTTGCGTCGCACTGGGTTCGATCCTCAGCACCACATTAAAAATAAATAAATAAAATAAAGTTAAAAAAAAAAAAAGAAAAAATGCAGAATATGTAGCTTAGAAATATTGAGTTGTCAGTCAATACTGTGTCCAACTACAACTAAAAAAAAAATATTCGAAAAACCAAAAGATTATTTATGGAAAAGTTGTAACAAAGCAGACAATCTAAAAGGACACAGGTCTGACAAGACATTAAGGTCATTTTGTTTTGCTCAAAATTCTCTGACCCTGGGAGATGGTGCCTGAGCTCAAAGTCCCAACTGATAACTCTGAGCATTTGCACAGTTTTCTCAGGCTGCAGCACCATAGCAACTGGACCATCTCAACCTGTACTTTCACACAGGTAGGTCCCAGTACAAACACAGCCATGAGGGAGTCAAAAAGACCATGATTTAAATCACCACTCTCCACAGTTGGCCTAGAAGCAGAATCACCTCGAGCTTTTGAAAAGTATGAATTTAGGGCCTGTCTCTCTGGCTTTAAATTTGCTGAGTAAATCTCAATAGATTTTAGGTATGTGTTTTTGGATTTTGGTTTTTAGTGTTGGGAATTGAACCCAGGTGTACTTAACCATTGAGCAACATCACCAGCCCTTTTTATTTTTTCATTTTTAGATAGGATCTCACTAAGTTGCATATGACCTCACTAAATTGCTGAGGCTGGTCTGGAATTTAACAATCCTCCTCTCTCTGAGCCACTGGGATTAGGGGCATGAGCAACTGCCTCCAGATGGGTATCTGTATTTTTTTTTAATGTTTATAAGTTAATATGATTGTAAACAAGTTTTTGAATCTGTAGGGTAGGACTGCTGAAAAGGATAGAATTTTTTGCTACCTGTGCCATTTTCCTTCTTTTTCTTGCCTCTTTCAAGGAAGTAAATGTAAAATCTGAATATATATCTTCTATTTTGAACCCTTTCTGACTAAAAAGCAGACATCTTTAACAAAGGAGGGTGTACATGAGTAGCATGCTTCTTAGAAAGCTAACTCTGGTAGAAATACGGAACATGGATTTGAAGTCTTAGAGACTTGATGGCATATAGTGGACACCAAAGGTCTAGACTGAAACCTAAGAAATGTTTCATACGTAAAACCAAAAGACCTAATGACTTATATAGTTATAAAAAGAAGATAAAATAGGACTGGGGTTGTGGCTCAGTGGTAGAGTACTGCTTGCCTAGCATGGTGACTCCCTGGGTTCGATCCTCAGCACCACATTAAAAATAAATAAATAAAATAAAGGTTAAAAAAAAAAAAGAAAATAATGCAGAATGTGTAGCTTGTCAGCAGTTACTCAATTTTTAACACAGAAGATTCAGGGAAACAAAAAGCAAACAAATTTTAGTTTTTTGTCTGGATTGGGTAACTTCCATAAGTAGAAAGATGTTGAAGGCCAGCAAGGCATTACTCTGAAGAGTCAGGAAATCTGTCTATAAACTATATCTATAATAAGGATCAGGAACAGATTTTAAAATCATTACACCTGTAAAACTAAATCAGTTTTACAGATGTAAACCAATAACAACTTGATCAGAAAGGATTGTAGTCATGATTTTAACAAAGATTGACAAGTTAAAACTGAAGGATTACTAAATAGTATATTGGCTATTGCAGAAAATGAGCTGAAATAGAAAATAGATTCAAGAAATTTACCCAGAACACAGGACAAAAAGAAAGGATGAGGTGGTGGGGACAATTTTTTTTTTTTTTTTAAAAGACACAGATCCAATATACAAAAACAAAGAATCACAGAAGTATATAGTGGAAAAAACAGAGCAAAGGTGAGAATCAAAGGAATAATTAGGAAAAGAAAAACCTGAGACTATTGTTCATAGGGTTCCCTGATATATGAAATAGCTTAAGGAAATAAGTCCAAAAACTGGTTACCTGGTCAGTTAAGGAATACTGTTTGCCACTTATTTACAGCATCTTCGTTTTGCTCTTTTACTGATTGACTGCAGTCTTTATAAGGTTGACTTTAGAAAAAACTAATGCATATACTACTTTTTTGCTTCATTCTCTTTTTGCAAGCACTACCTATATTCTGTGAAGGACAGCTGAATGGCCCAGCTCCTCTTCTGGTTCCTGTCTGTCTTAATATCTGAAATACAAATACCATGTTGTGTGTTTGTCTCTCAGAATTATTAGTATATCCTTTTCACTCTATATCCATCTGACAGGATCTGGCATTTAATCCATTTTGCTTTTCCTTCTGATTGGAGCGACACCCCTTTTCTTTTCTCACAGAAAGTTCAGAAGGTAGAGCTTTCAGTACCCTCTCTTGAACACCCTAGTCTGTAGCTCCTTTGGGGTTTTTGTTCTTAGACTAAAATCCTTTTTTCTTGGATGCAATCTGCCTGTTTCCTTTCTTAGGGGTAATCTAATCAATGTGCTACAGGAGGGGACTGAGAATTTTTCTCTCTACCTTATATAATCTGGGGATATCACATTATTTTATAACTTCATTTTGCTCTGACAGAAAACTATGACATATCTTTGAGGCTATTGTGCCATTCACATTCTCCACATTAGTAAGCATTATTAGAACCATGAGTTCAAGCTGTTAGTTCCAAATACAAAGCTAAACTCAGTACAAACCATAATACCTATAAAAACAAAGGCATGTTGTCCAAACCTTGTGCCATTTTTTATATGTTTAATAGAGAAGAGCACTCTTGCTGCTCTTTTAATCACATCAACCTCTCTTTTCCTTGATAGAAACATGTTTAAGAATCAGATTCTCAGATAAATGAGGCCCTTGTTCTTTCCCATCCACCTCATGAGGCTAGGCATTTTTTTTTTCCACCAAATTAAGGTGTCACCAAACAGGATTTTCTTTATCATGCACAGTCTCGTAGTTGTCCAAATAAAATGCCTTTTGTCTAGCTATTGGGGTAAATCAGAGGATATACTATAAAATCCCACTTTTAGCTGGGCATAGTGATGCACACCTATAATCCCAGCTACTTAGGAAGCTAAGGCAGAAGGATTGCATGTTCAAGACCAGCCTGGACAGCGTAGTGAGACTGTCTTTAAAATGGAAAATAGAAAGGGCTGGAGATATAGTTCAATGGTAGAATACCCCTGGGTTCAGTCCCCAGTACCACTGAATGAATGAATGAATAAGAAATTTCATTCATTCCCACTCTTCAAAATTAAACAAATGACTGTTGTCCCCCTCAAATTGCAGTATTTAATGAGATGTGGTATTTTATATCCCAGATCAAAACTTCATAATGCTATTAATAGGGAACATTTCTGTACATAGGAAAGATGCCTACTGCCTCCTCAGAGCTTGCTAGCCAAGCTCTAGAACCAAAGTTAGCAAATTTTCTACAGTCAGTATTCTTCAATTACTTAAGCATTTATAAACCCATTTGTACATCTCAGTTCTTCCAAAAATAAATAGCAGACTGTAGTTTGTCAGTCCTGCTCAAGGATAAATTGTTCCTAGCCTAGTTAGACAACTAACTTCTCAACCCCTTGGCAAATATCCTTGATCCTTACAACTAAATAGTCCTTTTTTCAATTTACCTTAGCTTTTTATCTTTGCGTGTTCAAAACCTGAAAGTTGCCAGCCATGATGGTGCACACATGGGAGGCTGAAGCAGGAGATCAAAAGTTCAGGGTCATCTTGGCAACTTAGCAAGACCCTATCTCAAAGGACTGAAATTATAGCTTAGTGTTAGAGTACTTGCCTACATGTGCAAGGACGTGGGTTCAATCCCCAGTACTGCAAATAAATAAATAGCAAGCTATGCAGTTATCCAGTCAAATAAATGGTATAGCAGATTTTCCTGAAAACAGTCCATAAACTCTAATCAGACATAAAGTTATGCCAACAGATATGTTTTACTAAGATTTGTTTAGATACATTTGGAAAGCCAATGTAACAGGTCTCCTTTGAAAAGTGTTTATTTGCTAAGGGAATTAAATATCATTTTAGATAAGGGAAAGAAGGCTCATAGATTATCTTGGATGTCAAGAAACTCTTCTGAGTATTCCCAATATTCTTCCAAGATAAAAAGATGAGCAGGGCTCTTAATGGGATAGCTGAGCCTGTGAAACTAGAATTGAAAGAACTAAGGGAACTACGGCCACCAGTTATCATCCCCTTGCAGAAGCCTAAAATTTAAAAAAAAAAAAAAAGTTAATAATAATCTTTCTCATTGAGTGTTGGGCTATAACCATAGACTGCTGGGAAACAAGCACTCTTATGAACAAATAATATGGCAGTCACTAAGGTATTTTTTCTTAGGAACTTTCTGCCTCACTTCTTTCATTAAGAAGACCTTTATCTTAGTACTAAGTTCAGTCAGAAGTTACTTCCAGGATCTGGTATACAGTCTTAGTTGCCTATTTTTCTTTCTACATGAGAATATAAAAAAGCAAAGCTATTATTAGGACTCTCCCAAGGGCTTCCTTTATGTGAATATTAATCAAGACGTTTGTTATCTTGCTTTCCTTTATCAACTCTGCTTTCATCAGCAAATTATCCTACCTATGAAATTAAATGCAAAGAGATTATTACATTTTTGCTTAGAATTTCAAGCACAGTCACTCACTTGGCATCCTTTATTAAGGATGGAACTCTGGGGGCCATTTTATTTTATTTTTTTAGATGTTGATGAACCTTTATTTTATTTATTTATATTTGCTACTGAGAATTGAATCCAGTGCCTCACAAATGCTAGACAAGTGTTCTACCACTGAGCCACAACCCCAACACCCACAGCCCATTTTTATTTTTGAAAGGACTTTGTATGGCTTCCTGACAGACTTTTTCCATGTAGAGGATTTGTCTCCCTATATTCTGCATATTGAAGCAATAGAATATAGTAGAAGAACATTGGTGTCATGTTAGATTAGCCTAGATTTGCATCTTTTCTTTGCCTTTACTGGCTTTGTGACCTTGGGCAAGTTATTAGTTGTTTCTGTAAAACTTGGATAGTATCGCCTTGTGTTGTTATATCCCACATAATAAAAAGGAAGATCTTGATTAGCCACCTGGATCTAATTTTATAATTTTATGAAGTCATTCTGCTTGAACCTAGTGACTTTCTGACATGGTTTGGTTTGGTTGTGCAGTTCTAAGTAACTTTCCTCCTGATTTTTTGTAGAGGCGGGGATACTGATACTCACCTAGTTGCTCAGCGCCTCACTGTTGCTGAGGCTGGCTTTGAACTCTCAATCATCCTGTTTCAGCCTCTGGAGCTGCTGGAATTATAGGAATGCACCATTGCACCCAGCTCCTCCCTATTTCTGGGTCATGATTAACTTGCTAATAGAAAAGTTAGCATAATCTCTTTTATTTTACATAATACTTCTCAGTATTGCTAGTAAATTTTTTTTGTTGTCCTATTTTACTAGAGGTGTACAATCCAAGCCTCCTCCATTAGGCAGTTCTAAGCTAAGCAACCCTTAGTATCTTCTTCTCTATTTTATCTTCTAAAGACATCTATTCCTGACAAATAACCTGGGGTGACAGATGTGTCTTTCCAGCCAGGCAGAGTAAGACTCCCAGGCCATGGCTAAGAGCATTCTGAGATTTGCCAAGAGAGCAAATTTTTGCTGTTGAGTTTCTAGGGATATTATTTCTGAAAAATAATTACTGATCAGTAATAGACACCTTTGAAATTGTCTTTATTGAGATGTCTTCTAGGCATCCTTTCTTTTGCTCCCTGAAACCAGTCTTTAGTCTTAAATTCCTATTGCACTATAAAGAATGCCTGCCTTCCCTATTTACTATGACCTCCATTGACTAGCCATCCAAAAAGTAGAAGCTCACACTAGTCAGGATGGTCAGGATTCATGGAGCATACTCTGTCTGAAGTGCTAGGCCATACTGTAAGAACAGCACCCTTTTTTTTTTTGTGCCTCCACTATTGGAAATAGATTTTAAGGGAGAGGGTGTTGATATTAGGAAACTGAGAAGATCTTTAAAAACTACCAAGAAGACTCTAGAAAATTCTAGAGTATACAATTAATTTGATTTTTGGAGAAGAATGATGGACTGCAAGAAATAATATAAGGCCATTGATTATACTGGAAGAGCTTTAAAATGAATAAAAGAAATTTAAAAATAAGAAAAACTATTTTTAAGACATCTCATTTTAAAAAATTATTTCTAAGAGAGATAAAGAATACCATTTGTTTTTGTCTACTGCTTCTTTAGGATAGTAAATGACCAGCTACAGCGGTCACTTGATGAGTATCAGCGCCGACTTTCCTTAAAAAGAGGTGAACTTGAATCAGCCCAAGAACAAATTAAAATACTGGAGGGAAAAATAAGTAAGTGATTTAAATTTTGTTTTTGCTAATCATGATTTACTTTGTCTAACAAACATTTCTTTTCATTTATAGATGAACTAAACCTTAAGATGACTTCACAGAATGAGGCAGCTCATGTAATGAAACAGACCATTGGTGTTATTGATAAAGAAAAAGACTTTCTTCAGGAGACTGTAGACGAGAAGACAGAAAAGCTTGCAGACTTGCAAGAAAACCTAGAAAATAAAGTATATAACTGTTAAATATCATTTTCCAATATCTGAATAGAGAGGATTATCTTATTCTGTTTCAGATTCATACATAGTTCTTACCCCAAGACCCAGGGCATTTTATCTCAATAATTTGAATCTTCAAAATATGATTTTATCTATTGTTAGAATGTGATTTTATCAGATATTATTAGGCAAACTTTTTAAAGAAACTATTCAAGTTCCTAGGGTGGGAAGAAACATGCCAATATGTGAAGTATAATTGAGATGTGGAAATATGTTTACTTGGAACTTTCTCTTTTATGCATAATTTTTTTAAAATTTTTATTATTGGTTCAAAACATTACATAGTTCTTGACATATCATATTTCATACATTTGATTCAAGTGGGTTATGAACTCCCATTTTTACCCCGTATACAGATTGCAGAATCACATCGGTTACACATTTTATACATAATTTATATAATTGAACTATGTACTTAACTATATAAATGTGACAAATTATATGAATCTAGCTACAAACATTTCTATATGAATGATTTAGAATCTTATATATTTTTACAATTTCTATAGGAGAAAGCTATTGCTCAGATGAAGAAAACTATCTCAGAGTATGAATTATCCAAGAAGTAAGTAATTAATCAGGTGAAACCCAGCTTTTTAAGAAATTTTTGGTGAATAGTTTTTATCTATTTAGTAGCCATCAGCAATAAGCTAATTTCCCCATTTTTTGCCAGTGGCATCATTTTCTCAATCTCCTGCTTGAGAATGTTACCTCTTTAATTATTCTTCCTGTCATCCATTTAAACATTTGTATCTTATTAATTATTCTTTAACATTTCCTACTTAACTCTCTGTTTTTACTATAATTACCTTGAATAATTATAATTCTTTAACATTTCCTACTTAACTCTCTGTTTTTACTATAATTACTATAATTACCAGTCTCTATTCATTACAATTCATTACCATTTTAAAATTTTAAAATGTTGATTATTTTAGTATCAATTTTGAATTTTAGTATCAATTTTGAATTTTTTCTCTATCTAAATTTATCTTGAACAGTTACAAAATTTACATTTTATGTCTAGTCTCCCCAGAAAGAATAAAAGGGGCTTAAAGTCAAGTCACTCAGTATATTTATTTTACATACCTTTAATTTTATGTAATAGTGGGAGAGTAGGGCTGGGGTTGTGGCTCAGCAGTAGAGCACTTGTCTAGCACTTGTGAGGCCCTGGGTTCAATCCTTAGCACCACATATAAATAAATAAAAATAAAGGTGTTGTGTCTACTTACAACTTAAAAAAAAATAGTGGGAGAGTAAACATTTAATAGATATTTGCCAATTGAATCTCTTATGTTTGGTTCTTAATACTTAAAGTAAATGCTTTGGTTCTGTATTTACTTGGTTTTTGGAATAATAAATCTGTTTTGTGGATTTATTTGCAGATATGACTGGTAGAGATCTAAAATACCTGCTTTACTTAATCAGTATCTTAATGAAGCAGTCTAGTTTCCTATATTCTTAGAATATTTAATTCAGTAGTTTTCTTTTAAATGAACTACAATTTTCTAAAAAGCTTCATTATTTCCTCATTTAACAGCCAGCTAAAGGAAGCATTGACTAATCGAGAAAGGGAGATAAGCAGCCTTCGACGCCAGGTTGATGCATGTCACAAAGAACTTGACGAAGTGGGAAGAGCTAGAGAAATAGCTTTTAAGGAAAACAGACGATTGCAAGATGATCTGAGTACAATGGCAAGAGAAAACCAAGTATGAACACACAGTGCATAAATGTTGGTGGTTTCAGAGTACCTATTTGTTGTTTGCTAAATAGTAAAGCAACATAGGTAATTTTTTAAGGAGAATTTCATCTATCAGGCTAATAAAAAAATGTAATTTACCCTGCCTTGATGGCACTTGCTTGTAGTCTCAATTAATCAGGGGACTGAGGCAAGAGAATCACTTAAGCCCAGAAGTTCAACACCAGCCTAAACAACATAGTGAGGCTCTCTCTTTTCTAAAATAAATAAATAAATAAATAAATAGATTAAAAATAAATTAATGAGTATTTTAAAATGTCAAGTGCTGAGAGAATTTTTATTATTGCTGGTTTATTAAAAGATTATACAAAGAGACCAATGATTTCCTGTTTTAAATACTCTGTTTTTTAAAAATTACTTTCAGGGGGCTGTGGCTGTGGCTCAGTGGTAGAGTGCCTGCTTTGCATATGTGAGGCACTAGGTTTGATCCTCAGCACTATATAAAAATAAATAAATAAATATATTGTTTCCATCTACAACTAAAAAAATTTTTTTAAATTACTTTCAGTATTATTCATAAAGCATATTGCTGATATATGAATTTCTTTTTTTAAGTTGGTCATGTTGTAATTGTTCTTTCTAGATATACATGGTAGTAGAGTATATTTTGACACATTATGCATACATAGAGTAATTATAACTTGTTATAATTATTATGGTCATATATGATGTGGAGTTATATTGTTTGTGTATTCATTTATAAGAATTATGAATTTCTTAAAAAGGTCAAGCTCTAACCATAACTAGCCCTTAGTGTAAAAGTCGGATTACATGGTGAGGAATGTTATGGGAGATGTGTGGTAAAATTTGGTGTTTCTGGGCGGGGTTTGTGGCTCAGTGGTACAGCGCTCTCCTAGCATGTGTGAGGCTCTGAGCACCACATAAAGATAAATAAATAAAGGTATTGTGTTCATCTTCAACTGAAAAGAATATTTTTTAAAAAAATTTGGTGTTTCTTACATCCAAGATCAGCCAGGAAATATATGTGACAATTACTTTTGCCCTGTACTCTTATTCCAAAGAAACTATTTGAATATAAATAGAACTCATTTGGTACCGTGTTCACTTTAGATTTGTCTTCAATTTCTGATTTATAGGCAATCTCATTGGAATTGGAAGCAGCAATGCAAGAAAAGGAAGAAATGAAGAGTAGAGTGCATAATTATATAACTGAGGTGTCACGATGTGAGAGTTTAATGGCTGCTAAGGTGAAAAACATTGTTTATGTTGGATTTCACATTGATTTTTTTAAAAACTTTTTCATGTTTGTCTGTTTTGTCCATACTATTATTTGTTAAACAGTTGAGAGTTAAGATCTTATCTTCTTTTTATATTTTCCAATAGATTTTAGTATAGTACACAGATACCTGATGCTCCCAAATTTAGAACAGAATGCCTAGTGTGTATGTGTGTTCCAATTAGTGACAGTTAACTAATTTAGAAACAATTTAATTATGCTTAAAACAGGAACAAGAAAATCAAGATTTGTTAGATAGATTTCAGATGCTTCATAGCCGTGCTGAAGACTGGGAAGTCAAAGCCCATCAAGCAGAAGGAGAAAGCAGCTCAGTTCGACTAGAACTTCTCTCTATTGATACAGAAAGGAGACACCTTCGAGAAAGAGTCGAGCTACTAGAAAAAGAAATTCAGGAGGTAATAACATTCATTGGTCTAGTAAAAGCATTATTTAGTAAAACAAAACATTCAAAGATACTTTATTAAGGTGAGGTTATAAATATTTGTCATTAATTCTGATAACTTTCATAGGAACCCCATTACTTTTTTTACTATAGTAAAAGATGATAATGTCAAATTTACCATTTCAACCTTTTTTTGGGGGGAGGTACCAGGGATTGAACCCAGGGGCTCTTAACCACTGAGCCACATCCCCAGCCCTTTTTATTTTTTATATTGAGACAGGGTCTCTTTAAGTTGCTTAGGGCCTTACTAAATTGCTGAGATTGAAATTGCAGTCCTCCTGCCTCAGCCTCTAGAGTCACTGGGATTACAGGTATGGACCATCAAACCCAGCCATTTTAACCATTTTTAAATGTATAGTTTTATGGCATTAAAGTACATTCACAGATTTGTACACCTATCATCATCATCTGTCTCCCTTTCTCCGGCTGAAACTCTGTACCCATAAAACACTAATCCCCCATTATTCCCTACCCTCAGCCCCTGGCAACTACCATTCTCCTCTCTGTTTGTATGAATTTGACAACATTTTAGGTCCCTTGTGTAAGTGTAATGATGTATTTGTCCTTTTGTGCCTAGCTTATTCCACTTAGCCTTGAGATTTACTTTATCATAAGATCATCCATTTGGTAGCATGGTATCAGAATTTCACTTCATTTTAAGCCTGAATGGGTTTACAAATATCTGTTTAAATTCTTTCTTTAATTCTTTTGGGTATATACCCAGAAGTAGAATTGCTGGATCATATGATAATTTTATGTTTACCTGTTAAGGAACAACCAAGGGTTTTCCATAAGGCTACAACATTTTGCATTTCTACCAGCAGTACTAGGATTCTAATTTATCCATTCTAATACTTATTATTTTCTTTCTTTTTAAAATTTTTTGGATAAAATAGTCATCCTAATGAGAGTGAAGCTATATTTCGTTGTGGTTTTGATTTGCATTTTTTTTTTTTTCTTTAAGTGCTGAGGATTGAGCTCAGGGTCTCATGCATCTGTGCAAGCACTCTACCTCTGAGCTACACCCACAGCCCTATATTGTCTTATTGAGCATCTTTTCGTGTGCTTACTGACCATTTTTATGTCTTTGGAGAAATGCCTATTTAAATATTTGTCCATTTTTAAATCAGTTTTTATTGTTGTTGACTTACAGGAGTCCTTTATATATTTTGAAGAAATATGTGATTACAAAATATGTGATTTGAAGATATTTCTTTTTGGTTAATTTTTACTTCATTGATAGGTTGGTTTTTTAATGGCTTACCTATTTAGGGGGTGCAAGATGGTAATTCGATACATGTATACAATGATCAAATCAGAGTAATTGGTATTTCTATCTCCTGAAATATTATCATTTCTGTTGGAACCATTTCTTCTCTAATTATTTTAAAATATAAAATAATTGCTATAGATTATTATAATCACCCTGTGTACTATAGAATATTAGAACCAATTCCTCCTATCTTCTAGTATTTTGATATCCATTATCCAACCTTTCTCTCTTCCTATCCTTCCTAGTCTCTAGCGATCACTGTTTTATTTACTTCAATGAGATCAACTTCTTAAAATTTTCACCAATGAGTGAAAACATGTGGTATTTATCTTTCTGTGCCTAGCGATTTCATTTAATATAATTTCCTCCAGTTCCATCATATTGCTGCAAATGAGAGGGTTTCAAACTTTTCAATGGCTGAAAATATTCTATTTATTTATATATATATTTATATAATTGATTTATTCATTTATCCATCAATGGATACTCTGTTGATTCCATATCTTGGTTATTATGAATAGTGCTATAATAAATATGGGTTTACAAATATTTCTTTGATGTAATGATATAATTTCCTTTTGATATTTTCCCAGTAGTGGGATTATTGGATCATATAGTAGTTCTGTTTTCAGTTTTTTGAGGAACCTTCATTTTATTTTCCATAATGTCTGTACTTACTTATATTCCCATCAACAGTTATAAGTTCCCCTTTCTCTATATCCTCACCACCATGATGTGGTTTTTTTTTGTTTGTTTTTTTTGTCTCTTTGGTAATAGTCATTTTTTCATATACTATGGGCTGAGTGTAAGTTTTCTTGAGAAATACGTGTTTAGATCTTTTGTCCATTTTTAAATTGAATTATTTAGGTGGATTTTTTTAAAGAATATTTTTAGTTGTAGATGGACACAACACCTTTATTTTATTTATTTATTTTAATGTGGTGCTGAGGATAAACCCAGTGACTCACGCGTGCCAGGCAAGTGCTCTACCACTGAGCTACAACCCCAGCCCCATTTTTTGTTGTTTTTTCGTTTCCTTTTCTTATTATTGAGTGTTTGATTCCTCATATATTCTGGATATTAATCACTTGTCAGAAGGATAGTTTGAAAATACTTTCTCCCATTCTTCAAATTGTCTCTTCACTCTGTTGGTTGGTTGTTTTGCTCTGCAAAAACTTCTTAGTTTGATATTATTCTGTTTGTCTAATTTTGCTTTGTTTGCCTGTGTTTTAGGGGGTCTAGTTATCTAAGAAATCTTTGCCTAAACCAACAACTAAAGTTTTTCTTCTGTTCTCTTCTAGTAGTTTCATATTTTACATTTAGATCCTTTATCTGACTTTTTGATGCCTAAAAGACTTTAATTTTGATGAAGTTCAATTTATCTATTTTTTCCCATTTCCTCCTTCCTTCCCTTCCTTTCTTCCTTATTTATTTATTGCAGTATTGGGAATTGAACCCAGGATCATTCTACCACAGAGTTACATCCCTAGCTCTTTATATTTTATTTTTTATATTTAAAAAAGAGACATTCTTGCTACATTGCTGAGACTGAACTTGAACTTGTGATCCTCCTGCCTCCTGTGTACCTGGGATTATACACATGTACCACTGGGCTTGACTGTACTTTTCGTTTGTTGCTTATAATTTTGGTGTCATGTCCAAGAAATATAAGGCTTTTCCCTTAATTTTTCGTCAAAGAATTTTACCGCTTTAGATCTTAAGTTTAGGTCTTTGATCCATTTTGAGTTAATTTTTGTATATGATATATGGTATACATCCAACATCATTCTTGCATGTAGATTTAAATAAACTTTTGTCATAAAGACAGTCTAAGCCAGGTAGGCATGGTCACATACACTTGTAATCCCAGCTACTTAAGAAGTTGAGCAGAGGGATTGAGTTTGAGGCTAACCTAGGCAATGTAGCAAGGTACCATGTCAAAACAAAACTAAAGGACTGGGGGTGTATCTCAATGGTAGAGTGCTTGCCTAGCATGTTTGAGGCCCTAGTTTCAATCGCCAGTACTGCACTCCCCACCCCCACCCCCACCCCCAAAATAAAAACAGACAAAAATCTGATAATAAAATTTTGGATTCATTTAAACTACAAGGACTGTTGAGTTAGATAAATGTAGACTAGTTTATATTTTGTTTTGTTGATATAGTTTTTAAAGTTTTCTTATTTCAGGAGAAAGAATAGCTCTCTTTAAAGGATAGGGTTAAAATGTCTAAAAGGCATGTTTAATTCCTAAATCTCAGTCTCTTACCTGGAAATAATATATTTGCAGATATAATCAAGTTAAAAGGAAGTCATACTAGACTAGATTAGAAGCTTAACCAAGGACCAGTGTCCTTATGAAATAAGGGAGATTTGGACATGTGAAGGCAGACGTGAGGAGATTGGAATGATACATCTCCAAGTTAATACTAAGAATTGCCAGTATCCACTAGAACCTAGGAGACTGACATGGAGCATATACTGCTTCAGAGTCTCCATACTGAACCAACTCTGCCTACACCTGAATTTTGGACTACCAGCTTCTAGAACTATAAGGGAATACATTTCTGTTGTTAAAAGTCACTCAGTTTGTAGCAATTAAAGAAGTCCTGGGAGACAAATACAGATTTTGGTGCCAGGAAATAGATCGCTGCTATAACATCTGAAAGTATGAAAGTAGCTCTGGGATTGAGTAATTGGTAGAGACTGAAAGAGTTTTGAGGTACTTAACAGAAAAAGCCTAGATTGTCTTGAAGAATATGGACATTAAAGGCAGCTCTGGTGAGAACTTCTGTCATTTATAGAATACATGAAGGCTCAAATTGAATTAAGGAAGATGTTATTAGATTCTGAAAAAGAGGTGAATCTTGTTATAAAGTGGCAGAGAACTTGACAAACTTATGGTTTACTATTGGGAAGGAAATCAAACTTGGAAGTATTGAACTTGGACATTTAACTGAGGAGATTTCCAAGCAAAGTATGGAAGGGGCTACCTAATTTTTCCTTGCTGCTTACAGTAAAATGTGACAGGAAAAGTAGAAATTGAAGAAGGAACTACTAAGCAAAAAAGGAACCAAAGCTTGATGATTTTGAAATAATACTTAGGCTGTCCAGGTAAGTATTCTCTGGAGAAAGGATCAAGAGTGTGGCTAGACAAAATTTTTGATGGAGAAAGTAGGTATGTGACTCAGTAATCTCAACAGAAATGTTACCAGCTTTGAAAAGGTCAGAAATGGAATAAAATTAAGAAAGGCTATTGGACTTCTGGGATCTCACTGATATAAAATGGCTGCAAACATATGTTCACCTTTAAGAAAAGGGAAGAATCAGCTGGGTGAGATAGTACATTCCTGTAATCCCAGTGGCTTAGGAGGCTGAAGCAGCAGGATCGCAAGTTCAAAGCCAGCCTAAGTGACTTAGCAAGGCCTTAAGCAATTTAGCAAGACCCTGTCTCTAAATAAAATATTAAAAGGGCTGGGGATGTGGCTCAGTGTTTAAGTGCACCTGGATTCAATCCCTAGTACCAAAAGAAAAAGAAAAATGACTCTTAAGGATGGCTGAAAGCCCAGCAGAGCTGCCAAGGGCAACACAGAGGCTGGTGTAGCTTCTGCTGTGACCACAAATCTAGTGGGCATTGACCAAGGGGATGGGGCCACTGTCTCCTTAATTCTAGAGGGCAGGGCCACCACCCCTGAGGGCCAATAGGGTGGGACTGCTCTGGCAGACCTAGAGAAAAGAACATCAGAGCCACAGATGTGATTATTGGACACTGAAGTGTGATGTTCCAAGCTTACTTTGGATTTATTCCTTCTATACTTTCCCCTTTTGGAATAGGACTGTCTGTTCTGTACCTGTACCACCATTGTAGTTTGGAAACAGATGATTTATTTTCTATTATCTTAGTGTGTAGATGGAGAGGAATTTTGCCCCAAGTTGGACCATACTCAGTCTCACCCATAACTGACTCAGATTATGTCTCAATGAGATTTTGAACTTAAATTGATGCTAGAATGTTTCGTGGGTTTTTGTTTTGTTTTGTAATGGAGTAGATATTTTGTACATGAAAAGCACATGAATTTGGGGGGCCAGAGAGTAGGTAGGATTGTGTTTGTCAAAAAGATACAATGAAGCCGGATATGGTGGTGCATACCTGTAATCCCAGTGACTCTGAAGGCTGAGGCAGAAGGATCTCAAGTTCAAAGCCAGCCTCAGCAAAAGTGAAGTGCTAAGCAACTCAGTGAGACCCTATCTCTAAATATAATACAAAAACAGGGCTGGGGATGTGGCTCAGTGGTTGAGTGCCCCTGAGTTCAATCCCTGGTCCCTGTTTCCCCCCCTCATCCCACCACAGAATACAATGAATTCCTAACCCCCAGTACCTATAAATGTGACCTTATTTGGAAATAGGGTCTTTGCAATACATTCAAATTCAGGTGAGATTATTGCTGCATTAGGGCAGGCTGTCACCTAATAAATGACTATTGTCCTTATGAGAGAGATGTGGACACAGACAACACAGACGACTTTGTACGAAGATAAAGGTAGAGATTTGGGGTGAAATGTCTAAAGGCAGTGTGCACCAAGTATCGTCACAACCACCAGAAGCTAGGAAAGAGGCATGAACAAATTTTGCTTCAGAGTGTCCAGGAGTCAACTCCATTAAATGAAATGTGGACTTCTGCCTACAGATCTGTGTGGAAATAAATTGGTTTACCATGATTTGATAGTGGAAGCCCTAGGAAGCTAATATACTATCTCTACACGTTCTAATAAGAAGAGTATAGTAACTAAAGGAATGCTTTTCAACCCCCCAAAAGAATTTTTCAGAAGATATTTCTTTTGTTCTTTGTCATTGTTTTTATTGGCTTTTCGTGTTTATATTTGACTTGTTTGGGGAAATTTTTATTTACTGAATGTGTTAATATTTGAAAATTCAAATGTTTACTTTTCTGTACCTATTAATATTTATTAAATCTTCATAGCATAACATTAGATTTTTAATGTTGATTCATATCAGTGACATCTGTTAAAATCATTTTTCAAATGTGGAGTCTTCCCAAAACATAAAATTAGTTTGTATTTAAAATTTAAATTGTGAGAAATTTAAAATGTGGATTATTCTGGGTAGAATGTTTTATCAGTATTTCAATTTTGGTCATTTCAAAGTTATTAAAATCTTATAAAATTATGTATTTAAATCAAAAGGAATTGGGGCTGGGGTTATGGCTCAGTGGTAGAGCTCTTGCCTAGCACATGTGAGACACTAGGTTTGATTCTCAGCACCACATAAAAATAAATAAATAAAATAAAGATATTGTGTTCATCTACAACTAAAAAATATTTTTTAAAAAAGGAATTAAAATCATTCTTTTTCTGAGGTATTTAATTTTAAAGTAAACCCTGTTTTTTCACATTGATGTTTGGGGAATGATAAGTATATACGTTACTTTTCGAGGAAAAGGCAATATTATAGCAAAAAAGGAAAAATTTATATAACTTATAAGAATCCCTGATATTTACAACACCCTGACAATAATTTTCATATTTGCACCTTCCAAATATATACATGAGGTACTTAGTTATCATGATTAATAATTATACTTCATTCCTTTTATGCATTAAATAGGCCATCTTTTAATAGCAGACTGCTTCCTGGGAATGTTTTAAAATATGCAAAAATTGGCTGTCACATTTTTCTAAAGTGAAGTTGTAGCTGTACAGAGTCAGTCCCTTTAAATTACTGAATTACTTTTTTTGCCTATTTTGTTTTCTTTCTTCAGCACGTAAATGCACATCATGCTTATGAATCTCAAATCTCATCAATGGCAAAAGCCATGTCTAGATTAGAAGACGAGCTGAGACATCAAGAAAATGAGAAAGCAGCAGTATTAAGTGACTTGTCTTCTCTTAGGGAACTTTGCATTAAACTTGATTCAGGCAAAGATGTTATGACCCAACAATTGAATTCCAAAAGCCTTGACTTGGAGAGGGTAAGAACTAAAGAGAAGTTGTCTTGGCGCATTGTTTTCTGGAGTCCTATTCTAATTGTTTTACTTTATTTATTTATTTATTTTTGCATTATAATTCTTAATACACCATTATATCATAATTTATCATATCTCTGATTATATATTATATATTTCAGGTATGTTGACACCAAATTCACATCTTCATACATGTATTTTGTATAGTGATGAAGGTCTCCTTTCACCATCCATGCTATTCCCCTTCTCCCTCCCTTTCCCTCCCATCCCTATTCCCTATCTAGAGGTAATCTTCCTCCCTTGCTCTCCCTCCCAACCCCACTTTGAGTCACCCCCCTTATATCAAAGAAGACATTCAGCATTTGTTTTTTGGGGATTGGCTAACTCTAGTTGTTTTACTTTGCCATTTAAATATTTATGTATTTAAATCAAAAGGAATTGGGGCTGGGGTAAATGATAAGTATAAATATATTTGTTCCCCTTTATAGCAGTTACTTTTGATGACAGGATGTTGTTTTGGGGTTTTTTTGTTTTTGAGACAGGGTCTCGCTAAATTGCTTAGGGTCTTGGTAAGGCTGGCCTTGAATTTGTGATCCTCCTATCTCAGCCTCTTGAGTTACTGGGGATTATAGGTGTGAGCCACCATACCCACCTGATGATAGAATGTTGACTCCAGGATTCTTTACCAAGGTTTCTTTGGCAAACATGGTAATCAAATTAGGTGTTCTCTGTTTTGGAATGGGTGGATGCTTAGAGATTATGAATTTTCTCACTATAGATTAGAAACATATCCCAATTTTTCTTTGTTTAAAGTTAGACTTCAACAAAAGATTGAGTAATTCATTGCTTCCTAAGTGAAATACTTTTTCTGATAAAAATCTCAAGACATTTAAGTCTTCATTTAATTAACAAATTTACTTTGCTAAAACTTCCCATTCCAAACCAAGGTGTTACTTTAAATACCCTAGGATATGTTTTCAAACATGAGTGTTCTCAATTTTTACTCATCTAGTAGTGTGTTTTCAGGTTCTCAAAGTGACTGGTTTGACTATGTAGTCAGTATATTTGGTAAACCAGAGGACCTCGTGCTGATGGTGCGGGTATATTTTAGGATTTTATGTTAAAGACCCTCTCTTGACAACGAAGTATGAGTGAGAACTGCTTGAGGGTTGGAGAATATCTTTTAACTAAATAAGTCCTTAGAGTAGCAAAGATTATTTTAAAATGAGATGTTCTTATAATTGAAAAAATGGTTTAAAATATTTAACCAATACCCCAAATGAAGCAAAGGATGGGTAAATAGTTCTGCAGAGCTATATTGTCAGATAATTTTTCAAAGTCTAAAATTATACTGAATTAATCTTTGCTTTTCCTGTAGGCTGTGGTAGAATTAGAAAATATGAAGTCAGAATCAGAGCTGTTAAAAAAACAACTGTCAAGTGAGAGACACACGATTAAAAACCTTGAATCATTGTTGGCTACAAATAGAGATAAAGAATTTCATACTCATTTAACCTCCCACGAGAAGGATACAGAAATTCAGCTACTTAAGGAGAAGTTAACCCTTTCAGAAAGCAAAGTGTAAGTGTCATAAATCAACCTAGATGAGAAAAATACTTGTTAAATATAATTTTTTTAATTTGGGGGAAGAAGAGTAAAGTGTGAGAGTGTGAATGGTGGTACGAAACCAAAATATTTGATGTATCTGTCTCCTGCTTTGGAAATTCAGAAGAGTAGCTCAGGGGAGATTATGTTTAGAAATGTAGGCTTGGGTATCTTCACTGCCAAGGTGGTACCTGGTGAGAGTGAGTGAGAGGGTAAACTTCAGGTAAATGCCCAAATGTGAGGAATAAAGAGAGAAGTCAGTGGAGGAAAGTGTGTCGGGACAGGAAGATGGGTCTGTGTCTCAGCTATGGCTGAGAAAAAGACAAAAAAGAAGGGATTTGACACTTGTTAAGTGCATTGATTACTGTTGGGGAGACTGATAATGACCTCATTTTAGATGGAAAGTTTTGGGCATGTTTGTTGGGAGAGGGGAGGAAATCCAGAGTTGAAAGTGCAAGTAGAAGAATGGGCTTTTAAAATAAGTTTAAAATCTTTTCATGAGGCAAAAAGCAAGAAAGAGCCAATGAAGATACTTTGTGTCTTGGGTTATAGTTTGTGTTGTTCAAATTTGTTTTCCAGCACTTACTGCAGTACCTGACAGATATTAGAAGCTCAGTAAATGATAAGTAAACTAAATGAATGGAAAAAAAAAAAAAAACAACTTTGTGTTAGAAGTTTAGAGAATTATTATAGAAAAGTCTTGATCTTATATTTTCCTATCCTTAAGAATCACCTCCATTTGTGTTTATTGATTTTAGAAAAAAACCTATAGCACTTGACTCAACAAAATGAAACTTTTGTTTTTTATTTCTGTGATCTTTAAATTTATTTTTAAGAACTAGTCAAAGCCGGGAAAATGCCATGCTCCGATCTAAAGTGACACAATTACAAACAGATTATGATACTATGAAAAGGCAGATTTCAACTGAAAGATATGAACGGTAAGAAAATAATTTTAAGTCCCAGTGAGGTTTTTTTGTGGTTGTTGTTTTGAGGTTTTTTTGTTTTGTTTTGTTTTGGTACCGGGGGTTGAATTCAAGGGCACTCCACCACTGAGCCACATCCCCAGCCCTAGTTTGTATTTTATTTAAAGACAAGGTCTCATTGAGTTGCTCAGCACCTCTCTTTTGCTGAGGCTGGCAATCAGCCATCCTCCTTCGTCAGCCCTCTGAACCGCTGGAATTACAGGTGTGCGCCATCGCACCCAGCTAGCACCAGTGCTTTTATGTATTCTCTGTTCTGTTCCAAAAAGGATTTAATATGGCTTGCAAACAACAAATTTTGTTATCACATTAATATATAAAGTAAAGTCCCTTGGTAATTCTTCCTAAAAAGGCAACAAGTAATGTGAAAGATAACAACCTGCAGTAAATAAAATAGCAAATGTTGTATTATTGTTTCCTGTAGTGTTCCACAGGGCAAAAGTAGAGCAATATTTCAGAGGGTATAGATAGATAGTCAACAGCAACCCCTCCAAGAGCCCCCTAAATATAGTCCAAGTTGAATAATTACTAATCATGAATGTGATGATGATCATCATCATAAGAGCAATTAACAAATGTTTGCAGGCCACTATGTGTGTGTCTGTTAATCCTACTAACAGCCTTTTATAGCAAACTGGTTACACAGTTGTAAGTGACAGAGCCAACACTAAAATGCAGGAGTATTGGTCCAATTCTAAAGAAACTGTGCTCTTAAGCTCTACAATTTATATTCCTTACATCTTAATCATTTTCATACTCCTATTTTGGTTCATTTGCTTTATGTTGAAAAATTCAATCCCCAAATGTTATAAACAAATGAGATCTGCTTTAAGAATTAAAATCAGTATTAACTTGTGTGTACTAAAATTTCAAGGGTAACAGGATAATCTGAGGGAGAAAAGTCTAAGAAAATTCCTTTGAGAGAGTAGTGATGAAAAAAAATTTGAGAAACACTGAGCTAGGTGGAAATCCTGGATACCAAAGAACTCAAGGCATAGACTTGAGGTCTTGGCCATAGACTCTGAATAGCCCACAAAGGAAATGACAGCATAATCATGATGCTTGCTGGGGGGTGGGGGTAAACCCAGAATCAGAGAAAATGGACTTTCATTTCTGACAATGGCAATTCTGAGGCAGGAAGAAGGAAGAGGGCTAGATTTGTGTGCATTGAGAGATGGGAAAGGAAGCCATTGAGGAGGAAACAACTTGGAAGCTCTTTCCTCTGAGGAGCAAGCATAGTCCTAGGGCTTAAGTGAGAAATTAGTAAAGTGCAGATAATATACGATTTCCCTTACACAAAAGTTTAAATGGTTGTTTTTTAAAGTAATGAGAAGGTTGGGTTTATATACCTAAAAACAGGAGGTAATTTGCCACGTAAGGGTGATCTGATAGACTGGAACTGAATATATTTTAGTGTTCCTGTCCTTCTGAATTCATCTTATAGTAGTTCACTATAAGATAAAAAAGAACTTGTTATTATGGAGTGTGCCCCTCCACGATAGTCTTGATATCGTGTTTCCATTATAGGCTAGGCACTGTACCACCTGCTAAGAATACCAATTAAATAGGGAACTCAGATGAATAACTGATTCTCAGGGAGCACATTATAATGAGGGAGACACACTTGTATATAGACATTATGTAACTGCAGGTATAGAAGTGAGTATAGGATTTGATTGACCCACTGGGAAATGAAATCTGTCCTAGCCTACATCAGTAAGCAAGGGTCAATTTAGGGTATGTTGGAGGTGTTGGGTACCTGTGGAATGTGTTTGTCTGTAAATCCTACTAACAGCCTTTTTTGCCTATATTATAGCAACCTGTGGTCACACGGTTGTAAGTGACAGAGCCAACACTAAAATGCAGGAGTTTTGGTCCAATTCTAAAGACTGTGCTCTTAAGCTCAACAATTTATATTCTTTATACCTTAGTCATTTTCATACTACTATTTTGGTTCATCCTCTTTATGTTGAAAAATTCAATCCCCAAATGTTATAAACACATGAGATCTGCTTTAAGAATTAAAATCAGTATTAACTTGTGTGCACTAATGTGTGGAATATCCAACAGAAACTTGTATGTGGATCCAAAGCATAGGAGAGTACTGGCACATAAAAAAGCTTAGGAAAAGAGAATGTAAACCTAGCCCAAAGAGCACCACCATGTGAAATATAGGCAAAAGAGAAGGATTCAGTAAAAGAACTGAAAAATGAATGTGTAGGTTAGAAGGAGAATCAGGAGATGGTAGTGTCAGGAAAGCCAAGAGTGGTTAGCAAATCCCACAGAAAGGTCAAGTCAGGTGAGGAACTGGCTTGCTATCATGGAAATATTTAGTTTTTAAGAACACATTAAACAGATTTTGGTGTTTTTTTAAAGTATAAAGAAGAAAATTAAAATTATAACTTCTCCCTTCCACTATTAGCATTTTTAGTCATGTGTTTGTGTATGTGCCTATGTGTGTCTGTCTGATTGTAAACTTAGTATTCTTTTTTTGGTAACTATTTCATGAGCATTCTATTTCTAAAATATTATTTTAATGATGTCCTATTATTACAACATGATTATAGTATAATTGCTTTGAACAGTCTCTTACAATGCATATTATTTTTAATTGAAATATTTTACCTAGTGCTTAAAAATCCTACAAAGACATAGGATTCAAATTTAGTAGAAATGCTAGGGCAGGGTGCAGTGATGTAGTCTCACCTATTTGGGAGGCTGAGGTGGAAGGATCACTTGAACCCACAAGTTCAAGACCAGCCTAGGCATCATACTGCAGGACCAAACAAAAATAAAATAAATTTAATAGAAATACTAATTAATTAGGGATAGGGATATAGGAGAGTGGTAGAGCACTTGCCTAGCATGTGGATTCAAATATGGATTGCCTAGCTTCCTGGATTCATTCTCCACTACCACAAAAAAAAGAAGAAAGCATCAATTAATTAAAAAAACACCAAAAGCATCTGATGTTTGCATGTGCCACTTTTTGAGTTTTCACAGTGCTTGAATATAATCCGTCTTATTTGATCTTTTCCCACAGAGAACGAGCAGTCCAAGAGATGCGTCGACATGGTCTTCCTACACCACCCCTTAGTTCTACTCTGAAGTCTCCTTTACAGTCTCCTGAACATATAAGTGTATAGTTACTAGAAAAGTAGGTATCTAACACCAAGGTCAGGCAAAACATCTAAGTTGTAAAAATTCAGGTAGTTTTCTTTGTCACGGGAGGGGAGATTGCCTGGAAAGGTGTTCAGGGGAGCTTCCTGGAATAATGGGAAATATTCTGTTTTGGTGGGGGTGGTTCTATCAGTATCTACAATTGCACTCATTAAACCGAACATTCATGGCACATGCATTTTATTTTATGTCATATAGTTCAGTGGTAGATTACTTACCTTGAATGCACAAGGCCCTGTGTTTAATGCCTACCACAGCAAAAAATAGAGATAAACAAAGCAGCAAAAATGCAAGATAATAATATGAGGCATTATAGGAAGGTATTTGATAAAGTACAACGTTCAAGATGCTAATAATAACTGGTAGAAGTGTAGGCAAAGACACATAATTGTACATGGCATGGTATATTCAACTTGGCTGGAAAGTAGAGTCAGAGTATACAAAGTATATTGAATGTGAAGACTAGAGATTGTAGACTTTATTCTGTAAGTCAGGGGAGCCATTAAAGGTCCTTCTGTCTATAAAATGGGTACCAAAAAGGGGATAAGATATAAGAATTAGGGCTGGTGTTGTGACTTAGAGGTAGAGTGCTTACCTAGCACGCATGAGGCCCTGGGTTCGATCCTCAGCACCAAATAAAAATAAGTAAGTGAAATAAAAGTATTGTGTCCAACTACAACTAAAAAAAATAAATATTTTTTTTAAAAAGATGTAAGAATTGTTTTCAGTGGATTAACGTCACAGCCATGTTTGAGCCATATTGGAAAGGATAGAAACTAGAGGTAAGGAGATATGTAAGAGGTTTGAAAAAGATTAGTGTAAGCAGTTTAGAATCAGTATTATAACATTGAAAGCTAGGGCAGAATTTTTAAAGTAAATTGTAACATACTTAGAACAAGACACCATATCTATACAGCTCAATGAATTTTCAAACTGAGCCTACCTAACTCAGATCAACAAACAAAATATTACCTCTTGTACTGTCTTATAGGCACTAGCTCTGCTCTAAAAGTGTCTTCACTGTCACATATATTCTTTTTGCCTGTTTGGACACTTTATAAATGAAAACGTAGATTTCTGGCTTCTTCTCCTCAACAACATATTTGTGAGATTTGTCCATCCGGTTATGTGAACTTGTAAATCATTCAGTCTTGTTGCTGCAGAATGAAATACCCTTCTGTGAACTTGCCACAGTTCATTTATTCATTCTGACAATGGTATAGTTCCCAGTGTGGACTTTTACGAAGTGCTTTGGGTATACCTCTTAGGGTAAAATTGTAGGCTCACTGAATATGCATATGCTCAAACTTTAGTAGTTATGGCAAAACTATTTTCCAAAGTAGTTGTAAAGACAAGTTAGGATACATTTGACTGAGGGTCAAAGGGATATGCTAATTCTTTGGAAATTGGAATGAATGGGAAAGAAGCATGAGTCAGATCCAGAGTTTGACAAGTAGTGACTGTGAATAATGCAGACTCATTGACAAAAATAGTTACATCAGTCTTTTTTAAGTTGATGTGTTTGTTTGCCTCCTTTTAATAGAAGTACTATATGTAGAAGATAATTGATATTTGCTTGAGGACTCAGAATCCTTATTATGAACTTAGTTATGTGCTATGCTTTAACATAACATGCTGACACCCCTGTGTTTGTAGGGCCTGGGTTTAAATAATTCCTGATTGATTGCCTTTATGTTTATTTATTTAAAACATTTATTTTCCTCTCACTCATTCTGAGTTCTGTGTTCCCACAACTTCTAAATTGCTGTGTTACTTTGAATGTGGTTAGGTGACAGTTCACCTTCTTACTATAAAGCATTGTACAGTGTGATAGATGTTTTCTCATGCTTGATTGACAGTTATAATTTTGATTAGAAGCTGGCAACCTAGAGTCTGCAGCCCAAATCCATCCCACTGCCTGCTTTTGTAAATTAAGCTTTATTAGTGCATAGCCATGGTTTACAAACTGAGAATACTTTTCTCCAGCAGCAGCATTGAGTAGTTGTGATAGAACCTATGACCTACAAGTCTAAATTTATACCCTAGCCTTTCACATCATGTCACCTCTGGGAACTCACTCATAACCTGTGAGGACATAATCATGAAAAGGCAAATAATTCCTCTACAAGGCCTGCCCTTGTAGACCCCCTAAAAGAATCTTGGGAAATCTCAGGAATCCACAGACTTTCAGAACCACTGATAGGGCAATCCCTCAAGCTGAGATCAATTAGAAAACATTTTTTTTTAAGTGGCTATAAAACATAACATGAATTTTCCCATTTTAACTTTTTTTTATATTTATTTTTTAGTTTTAGGTGGACACAATATCTTTATTTTTATATGGTTCTGAGAATCGAACCTAGTGCCTCATGCATGCTAGGCAAGCGCACTACCACTTGAGCCACATCCCCAGCCCCATCCATTTTAACTCTTTTAAGTATATAACTCAGTGGCATTAATTACCTTCACAATGCTATTTGGCTATCACCATTTCTAAAACCTTTTAGAAATTCCCGTATTCATTAAGCAGTAACTCTTTACTTTTTTACACCCCCACTTTCTCAGCCCCTGGTAACTTCTAACCTACTTTGCTATCTCTATGAATCTACCTATTGTAAATTTTTATATAACTGAAGTAATACAACATTTTCCTTTTATGCCTGGCTTATTCTGCTTAGGATGTTTTCAAGGTTCATCCATCTTACAGGATACCACATCTTATTTTTACCTTTTAATCAGTGTTTCTACATTATGGCTATTGTAAATAATGCTGCTGTGCACATTGGTGTGCTAATATCTGTTTTTCTTCATTTTCAAATTTTTTGGAGTATACCCAAGAGTAGAATTGCTGGTTTACACAATAATTCTGTTTTACCTCCTAGGAGCTGCCAAACTGTTTCCCACATTGCTTCACTATTTTTATGTTCCCATGATCACTGTACAAAGGTTTCCTTTCTCCACAGTCTCACTAATACTTGTTATTTTTTTCCTTTTAACTGTCCTATTGCATGTGGATTAGAAAACTTTCACAACCATTAACAAATTCACAGTTTTAAATTTGGTAATAATTCACAATTGAGTTTCAAAGTATCCTAATGAGATTTTTGACTAGTAATCCATTCTTATTCACATTTTCTAAATATTGTCACCAAAACTAATTTTAAAGAATTCCCCCATGTGCACTCAGAATTGAAGTGCTCGGCCATGAAATGATTTTTTAGACTATTGTTTCTCTAAGTAATTAAAATATACAATCTAATTTTCTTACTTTTTTGACTGTTGTATCTGATACATGATTTTTTTTGAGAATTTTTTAATATTTATTTTTTAGTTTTCGGTGGATTCAACATCTTTATTTTTATGTGGTGCTGAGGTTCGAACCCAGCGCCCAGCGCATGCCAGGCAAGCACGCTACCGCTTGAGCCACATCCCCAGCCCTGATACATGATTTTTAAAAAGTATTTCTTAGTTGTCAATGGACCTTTATTTAATTTATTTATATTCAGTGCTGAGAATCGAACCCAGTGCCTCACACATGCTAGGCAAGCACTCTACCATTGAGCCCCAGCCCCAGCCACTGGTATATGATATTTGAGATAGAAAAAAAACTAAAATATTTTTCCTACTTTTATACACTCTCAGCGCAACATTTTTAACACCACGTTCTCTGTTGTACACTAACTGGGTGTCTTGTCATTTCCTTCTTACTCTTTTTACCTGAAAATAGTGTCAGATCCCATTGGGAAGAGATTCGGTCCACAGGATTCCTTTCTCACACTTTAGATACCAGTTGTAAGCCCTAGGTTGTAACCTGAGCTTCTGACCTACCTACTGTAAGTCCACTTTCCCACAGCCTTCTCCCTAAATTCAGTTAATTTGCTAGATGGCTCACAGAACTCTGGGGACACACTTTACTTACATTTACCTATTACAAAGGATACAGGCAGGTGGAAGGACAAGGTACCAGGGAAGGGATATAGAATTTCTATGACCTTTCCAGGATCAACTCCAGACACCTCCTGGTGTTCAGCTTCTGGAAGCTTCCCAGCCTAGTCCATTTGTGTTTTTATGGAGTCTTCATTACATAGCTGTGAATGATTAGATCAACTCAGCCTTCAATGCTTTTTCCTTCCTAGATCATGCCTTGGTCTTCCTGGTGACTGGCCCCTATTCAAAAGCTATTTAAGAGCCCCTCAGCCACAGTCATCTCATTACCATAGAGAAGACACTACTATCGCTCTGGAGATTTTAAGGAGCCATCTGCCAAAAAGCAGGGATAGAGACCAAATATGTGTTTCTTCTTATATCACACTGTCACTTATGCTGAGAAAATGTAAAATTCAGAAAAGATGAATAAGGAAATCAAAATCACTATTTTAAAGTATAGAATAGCACTTTTTAATTTGAAGAAGTAGAACAGTACTTTATATATAATCTGGATTTGGGGCATAAGGTTTTATTTGGAGACTATATTTTTAAAACATAATTGAATTTCAGTTTTTTATGGATACATTGAATAAACTTGTTTATTATATATCTCTTAACCCACCTTCTCTCCTACTCTTTTCAGAATAATGATTTTCCATGAGTTTCTTTATGGATATTTAAAAGAACACAACAGTAATGAAATATTTGAAGTACTTGTTCCTGAAAATCATGAGCATTGACACAAATTCTACCTCTGGCAACTTTTATTTAAATCATTGAATATTTATGTAAAAAGTTTGGTTGAAAAGAACTCTATGTATATTTTCATATGTATGACAAAACAAAATATGTATTAATAGTGCTTAACTGATGTGATATGTATATTTTTATTATTCCTGACTTAAATTACTCCTTAAAATGTGTTTGTACTGTGACTTAATATAATGTATTGTGCACATTATGCTTTAATAATCTATTTCTAAATGAGCCATGATATATGTGTGTAAATATTTTACAGTACTTATTTTTAAAGTGTTTTTAGTTTTCATGCCTCTGTTTATAACCAATACCTTAATCTACTCACAAAGAATTATCATTTTGATTCTGTGCTGTCAAGCTTTTTCCTTCTGAATGTAAAATTAATTATTCACAGATTTGCTGTCATCAAGGGGAATATATTCAAGTCTAGTCTTAATATCAGAGGTCTTGATAAAATAATTACCATGTGTCATTAATTATTGCCAACCATAAGAATTGTGATGGGAAATATAAATTTGTATATTATATACAATATTGAATTATTTTGATTGTCACATGGGCTCTTCATATAATGTAGATTCTATCAAAATCAAGCTAAAAGCTATATTCAGAATTTTGTAAAACAATAGAACAGAAATTTGGAACTTTTTTCCAGTGTATAAAATTCCTTGGTATGTTAGCCTAAAATTTCAGAATATAAAAGTAAGTACAGTAAAATATTTTGTTAAACTTCCAATATGTATTCAATGATATTAATTTTTGTTTCTAATCTTGATGTTGTAACTTACCAGTCTTCCAGAATAGTATATAAACACGACCCTTTGGCATAGAAATTGAAACAGCTTTTTACAATTCATTTTCAAGGTTGTAATTTAAAGGAATTTAGGTATATGCATATGTTAATTAAAAAAATACAAAATAGAATGTCAGATACAAAAATGAATCGTGTTTAAACTGTACACATCTGAATAAAATCCTGTTCTAGCAGATTTCATTATGATTGAAAAAGAACATAAAAACTAATGAAAGGAAAATGAAAAATCATTTACTTATGATGTATTTTGTTTCCTTGCTGGTTTAATGAAGTGGAGTTCACATGTGTACTGGAGGTTGGCAGTGCGCTTTTTCTGTAACCTGTGTGCTGTGTGTGTTCAGGGTGTGCCCTTTGCAGTACTTCAGTGTTCAGTGTTTGGGGCATAAGGTGGCCTACTTTCACACAATCTTTGTAATTTTATGTAGCCTATCTCCTTTGCATCCATGTATTATAGCAAAATACAAGGGAAGTGGGACTATTTTCAATATCATGGAAAATTTTTTTAATAAATATATGTAAATAAAATGAAAAACATTGTCCCCACCTTTTCCCCCAAAGCAGTAGCATGACATATTTTGTTACATATTTCATTTTTAGTTTTCTATAATTTAAAATTGTATAGCTTGCCATAAAATTGTTTTCATAACCATGATTCTACAATTTATTTTAAAAATTTGTTTTATCTTAAAATACTAAATGTTCTGACATTTTACAGATATTTTAAATTTTGTTTTAAATGATTTTAAATTATGGAGCTTGACAGATTTACCAATAAACATTCCAGTTGATTTATTTTTCTTGTTCTTATAAATATTTTAAAAACTTTTATATTAGCAATGTTCTTAAATCTAAAATTAAATAAAATTTATTCAAATCAAATTTCATCGTATTATGATATCCCTGAACTAGGTGCCAGGCACCTTTTTTTCCTTTTAAGGACTTTCATTTATTATCCAGTTAGTTCAAAATAGAAGAAATGAAGTCAAAATTTCTGTTAATAATCTGTCAACAAATTGCATAAACAAATGTGCATGTATTGTGAATAGATGTAAATTTTTTCTACTTGCAAATGCTTTTGTTAAGAACATTAATTACCATTAGACTATGGTACCTGCCCTCTATCTTAATTAGTGCCTTGTGGATATACATGAAGGTGAGATTTACTGTGCTATATAGTCATATATGTACATAGGAAAAGTTAGGTCAGATTCTTTCCACTCTTCTTCTCTTACTGTGTTCCTCCGCCCTCTCTTCATTCCCCTTCCTCTACTCCATTGATCTTCTGTTTTGATAAGGAAGTCCCCCCCCCTTCACACATACTTTTCTTTTTCTTCCCTTATTTTGGACTAGTTTCTAGATATCAGAGAAAACATTCTGCCTTTGACTTTCCAGGTCTGGTTTATTTCACTTAGTTTAATGGCCTCCATTTCCACCCATTTATTGGCAATTGTTGTAACTCTTTTTTATAGCCAAGTAATACTCCATTGTGTATCCACACCAGTTTCTTAAATCTACTCATCTATTGACAGGCACCTAGGTTGGTTCCATAACTTGGCTATTTGAATTGTGGTGCTATAAACATTGATGTGGCTGCATGCCTATTGCATGCTGATTTTAGATCCTTTGTATATATACCAAAGAGTGAGGTAGATGGGTCATATGGTGGTTCCATTTCTAGTTTTCAAAGGAATCTCCATATTGCTTTAGATTCTCTAATTCTAACAGTGCCATGGTTAACAGTGCTGCTTTAAGAAATTGACCCACCAAATTGATTTCATGACCCATGAATGGACCAACCTGTATTTTGAAGAACACTGCTCTTGATCTTGTTTATTACCTTCAAAGTCTCAATTTATACCCAGGTGTGGTAGTGTGTGCCTATAGTACCAGCTACTTAGAAGACCAGCCTGGGAAACAGGCAGACCTTTTCTCCAAAACAAACCCTCAATTGCTAGCATCCTACTCACCCCTTTATCTACATCACTCTGTTACACCTTTCCCAAACATGTATGATATTACTAGATCTCTACAAAATGGATTCCATCACCCTCCCTTTATTTTGTATAAACATTGCTGAGAGCCACAGCCGAGTCGGAATGGCCTCTGGCATTTTGCCAATAGTATTGATTGACAGGCGAGGCATTACTATCCACCTCAGCCGCTACTTTGGAGTTCTCGTGGGGATTCCCGGGATTCCCAGAGAGTTCCCATTGGTTGGGGAAGTGCAGGAGGAGGGATTTCCGGAGGATATTTCTGGCTGCTGGTTCCTGGACAAGCCGCGTGGCGTTCGGGAGGAGTTCCCGGGAGCGTGTGTGGAGCGTGCTGGAGGAGTTCAGAAATAAAAGTTTGTTCCTGCTTCAGTGGCTCGTGATTTGTGCCCAGCCAGACTGTGGCATTTGGCGACCCGTGTGGGGAACACCTGAAGCTCGGGGGGGGGGGGAGTGAAATTGCTCGCACCTAAGGGAAGGCGAGAGAATGGGTGACCATTTCAAAAAACAATGTGTTCTTGTTTTGATTTGTTTTGTTTTTGTTTCAAGCTGCCTATCCCTAGAACTTTCTCAGGCAAACTGGGAAAAATGGTTGGCTCAAGGTTTGAAGTTGTTTGCCCCTGAGGAAGAGATAGAAATAGAACACAAATGCACATGTCAAGAAAATAGGAAAATCGATACAACGATTTTTTGTTCCGTTTTTGTTTCATTCTGTTTCGGTTTTGTTTTGTGTTATCTTATTGGGTTGCGTTATCTTTATAGTAGATTAGAAATTAGTAAAAAACAAACCGAAAGAGTGTTAAGTAAATTGTTAGAGGTTCAGACCATGGAGAAAGACATTTTAGATCAAGTAAAAGAGAAGGTCTCTCGAGCTAGTCAGAGGAAGAAAATTTAAAGGAAGAAAGCTTAGAGGAGAAACAGCTATTAGGGAAAAAGCTACAACAGGAGGCTGCTACTAACACCGTTCTATCACCAGAGGGCGTAATTCAACCAACAGCTCCACCTATGGAGACAGCTGAGTGGCCCTCAACCCCCGTAGTTGATAGATGGGATCCTGAGACAGGACCTCAAAGATTAGCATGCCCTATACTTGAGCAGGCAGGAGAGCAGCGAATTCACCGTGCTTTAGATTTCAAAACAGTGAAGGAGTTAAAGGAGGCTGTAACAACCTATGGTCCTCAAGCACCCTTCACTGTAAGCATGGTCGAATCCATTACGAACTTGGACATGTCGCCAGCAGATTTGGCTAGTATGTGTAAATCTGTGCTAAGTGGAGGACAATATTTGTTATGGAAGGTTGCCAATGAGGAATTTTGCATGGAGATGGCTAGGTGAAATGCAGCAGCCAGTTACCCTCAAAGAAATCTAGATATGTTGTTAGGAAAATGACCTTATGAGGGTCAACGGCAACAAATTGAATATGATCCTGCTATATATGCACAAATTGCTGCAGATGCAATTAGGGCATGGAAGACTTTACAAGGACATGGAGATTTACAAGGTCAATTATCTAAGGTAATACAGGGAGCTAATGAACCTTACGCTGAATTTGTAGATAGGCTTATTCAAACAGCTACCAGAGTTTTGGGGGATACAGAACAAGAAATGCCATTAATTAAACAACTGGCTTATGACCAAGCAAATCCTTGATGCAGAGAGGTCATTAGACCATGGAAACATGGAGATTTAAACACATATATTAAATTATGTAAAGACATTAATGAACAAGGGCAAGTCTTGGCAGCTGCAGTACAACAGGCTTTAGATGCCAGGCCAAAAACATGCTACAATTGTGAACAAACAGGACATTTTAAAAGGAGTTGCCCCATAGGAGGAGGGTTTAACAAAGCTAGGTATCAAAGGAGTAGAATACCGGGTATTTGCCCACAATGCCGTAGAGGGAGACATTGGGCTAATGAATGCCGTTCTCAAACCACCATAGAGGGTACTCCATTATCAAAAAAAGGACAAGGACCAGGTGTTTACCCACGATATCATGGAGAAAGGCATTGGGCTCCATTGCCAAAAAACGGACAGGGGAGCCCAATGCTCTGGGGCCCACGACCACAAATATACGGGGCACTGGAGGAACCCAAAAACACCATGGAGGAACCCAGCAACACCATCAGGGTAGTGCCCAGGACACATTATCCATCAGATCTCTCATCAGACGAACCAGAGGGAGCGCAGGGTTGGACATCTGCGCCTCCACCAGAGCAGTACTAACTCCAGAGATGGGAGTTCAAATCATTCCCACAGGAGTAAAAGGACCTCTTCCCCAAGGAACAGTAGGCTTATTGTTAGGATGCAGTTCTTCTACTCTAAAAGGACTTATGATAAGTCCTGGGGTAATTGATCCCGATTATGTAGGTGAAATAAAAATTATAGCTAGTTCTCCAAAGGGTATATCAGTAATTTCACCAGGAGATAGAATAGCACAGTTATTAATAATACCCAGCCTACATGATAAATTTTCCAGTAGTAGTATAAAAAGAGGTTCCAGGGGATTAGGCTCCACAGGTGTAGATTGGGCTATGCTGTCTTTAAATCTAGATTCTCGCCCAATGCTAAAACTAAATATTCAAGGACATGAATTTAATGGACTACTGGATACAGGTGCAGACCTTAGCATCTCGTCAAGAATGGCCAAAACATTGGCCATTACAACAAGACACTCAAATGCTTCGAGGCCTAGGAGTAGCAACTAATCCCCATAGAAGGGCAATGGTATTAGATTGGAAGGATCCTGAAGGATGTGAAGGAATTATATAGCCATATGTATTGGATCATATTCCTATAAATTTATGGGGACGAGATGTCCTAGATCAATTAGGTTTGACATTAACAAATAACATCAATCCAAATGCGCCCACTATTAGGGCTAGACCAGGTTTCATGAAAGAAAAAAGATTAGGAGAACAAGAACAAGGTATAGCAGCACCAATTCAAATAGATCGAGGAATAAATAGACATGGATTGGGTTTTCAGAAGGGGTCACTGAGGCAATAAAAATTACTTGGAAATCAGAAAGACCAGTATGGGTTCCTCAGTGGCCCCTGACTAAAGAAAAGATACAAGCAGCCCATGACCTGGTCAAACAACAACTAGCGGAGGGACATATACAACCTTCCATATCTCCCTATAAAACTCCCATTTTTGTCATTAAAAAGAAATCTGGTAAATGGAGATTATTGCAAGATTTAAGAGCCATTAATAATGAGATGGTTATTATGGTATCTGCT